TTCCGACGTGGCAGCTGCTTTCTATGGCCGCTATGAGATTCTTAACCATCCAGTCTTGCAAGTAACCGGCCTCCTTGCTGCCGTGCCTGAACATCAAGATGCATCGGCTAACCCCCCAAGTAGCCAAACTCGGCGTACAAGACTGGCGCTGCATGGCCTTCCAAAATCTCCAAGCAATCACCGGACTCCGTGGACCACAGCCTGGCGGTGCCATCCCAAGAGGCTGTCACCAACATGCTCGTGGAGGGCGAGAAGGAAATCCATGTTACTGCATCAGCATGGCCAGCGAGCGTCAGCAGCAGCTCACCGGCCCGACTCCACAAGGTAGCTGATCCATCTTCACTTGCCAGGGCTATCTTGGCACCTCGTGGACATGAGGTGGCCATATACACCGGCTCCGAGTGATGTGTACAAGTCCACTCCAACTTGCCTGACTCAACGCACCAAACTTCCGCATTGCCGTTGCTTCGCGTGGCAAGAACGAGCTCGCCATCCCTAGAAAAATCCACAAACTTCACTTCCGCATCGCCTCCCATTGTGTGAACGCATGTCGATGCTGTCGCCTCCCAAATGCGTACTGTGTTGTCTGATGCCGTCACGACCATTGTACCGACAGGTGAGAATTCTGCTCTATTGACGGCGCTGCCATGCCCTTCAAGTCTGCCTGAAACCTCACCCGTCCTGACCGACACAATCAAGGCAGCCCCCTCGGCAGATGACGTGAGAACCCATTGATTATCATGCGAAAAAGTTGCCAAGTATACGTCTGCTGCGTGGACACATTGCCACTGCCTCTTGCCAGTTCTGCTGCACCAGAGACAAGCCGTACCATCCTGCGACGCGGTGGCCACGAGACTGCCACAATTCGAGAAAACAGCAGAGTAAACTTCTCCACCATGGCAAAGGCGGTGCTGCTCTGTCACTTGCCATCCGTCCAGGGCCCAAACGCGTGCTGTTTTGTCCTCCGAGGCCGTAACCAGATGACAGTGATCTGCAGACATTGTGCAAGCATACACTTGCCCAAAGTGTCCTTGAAGCTCTAAGCAATCTCCTGAATCGAGATCAAAGGCACGCGCTGTGCAATCACTAGATGCGGTCACTACCACGCGAGCCTGCGAACAAAACATTACGTCAATGGAAGCAGCGTCCACAAGAACATGTTGGACGACTGCCTCTTCTGACAGAAATGCTCCCTGGTATAAGAAGCTCCAAGGGTGGTCAAGGAGTACCAAGCAATCGCCTGCATTTCGACGAAGTTCGTCTCGTACTTCTCGGATTGTACTTTGCTTATCCACCTGAAACACTGCAATCTCGCGCCCAGTCAGTGCCAGTCGAAAATGAAGGCTCCAGCTGGCATCGCGCATGCGAAGCGAAAGGAACGACTGCAACTTCACATCAGCACGGCAACAAGGCACTTGTGACCTGCTGCACTTGCCGGCTACACTGCAGGCCACGCGGCACGCTCGCTTACCCTTCCAAGTCTTAAGAACACCCCTGTCGTCATGTAGCGTGTGACAATTCATGTTCTGGCCGACTCGTTCCCCACACCCCCCCCCCAACCCCCCCACACTTGCGAGACATTGTCCGCCACGACTTACGGGCCGTCCAAAACTTAAGTGTGGCAACAGTGCGACCGCGACTATCCCAAACGCACGGTGCTATAGAGTGTGGGAATCTCCAGAAACATTGTTTGTTGCATTCCTTGCAGCTTTGTCACAAACAAAGGATGCTAAATGGCGTGCTGGCATGTCGCAGGTTTGGCTGCATGAAATCAGGTACGCATCCATGAAATAGCATGATGAAACTATTGGCCTTTGCTATCGTTGCTTGCCAAGGCAGCAAAAGGACCATGACAACGAATCACTACCTGTTTGTGCACGGACTAAGGATCAATGTGGTGACACACGCACACACGCTTGCTGGATGTGCGGCTTTCTAAATGGATTGTCCGGCGTGTTGCAGTCACTCTTTTTTCCAGGAGCCGGTGCCATCTTTTGCATCTTTGCATCATCAGAGGGTGTCTGGATCACCATTGATGTCTGGCAGCTCCTCTCCATCTAAATGGCAGACCTCAGATTTCCGACACCAGACGGCGAACCAACTCACAACGGGTTGTCAGGACAGCTGACGTCTGACAAGCAACATCTCGAAGATGCGTGACCAGATCTCGCTGGTCGCAGTCCAAGCGGCGCGGCACCTTCAACTCATTTGGAGCAGCATGCCATGAGCCAACACATCAAGAACCGTTGACCACTAGCGCCGGCCTCCACCCGCAGGGTTACATAGTGATCACCTAGGAAACAGTGTCAAGGCAGCATCGTGCTGTGGCATGAGAGTGACGGGCAAGGTTCACAGCGCAGCGGCAACACGAGCCAACTCTCATGCCGTCCTCGCTCTCCTTCAAGACCCAGCTTTGGAACGCCGCGCCCTTGCAAACGCATCGTTGCTCCGGGCTGCGTGCCAGCCGGAACCTGTAAAACACCCACCCAAACACACACACACACACACACACACACACACACACACACACACACACACACACACACACACACACACACACACACACACACACACACAACACACACACACACACCCACCACCACAAACACACACACACACACACACACACACACACACACACACACACACCACACCACACACACACACAACACAAACCACACCACACACACACACACACACACACACCAACACACACACACACACCACACACACACACACACACACACACACACACACACACACCCCCCCACACCACACACACACACACACACACACACACCACACACACACACACACACCACACACACACACACACACACACACACACACACCACACCACACACCACACACACTCACACACGCACACACACACACACACACACCACACACACACACACACCCACACACACCCACACACACGCACCCACACACACACACACACACACACACTCACACTCACTGCTCAGGACCTGCTGATGGTTCTTCTGTGTCATGCTAAGTCGTATGCAGAATGCTTGGCATGCAGACACATGTGGAAAAAGCTGCATGTGCGTGTGTGTGTGTGTTTTTTTTTTTAATGTGTATATAATACATATATAACGCGAGGCCCCCCCCCCCCATGGGCGAATCTCCAAGCCAGACAACCGACAAAAATCCAAAAACAACAAATCGAAACTCCCAAGATGCAACGCCCACACTGGGCCAAAACTTCGTGAAACCCTACTATTCCGGTTAGGGCTTGGGGTTCAGGTATCTTTGTTTCTATTGTTACACCACTAAAGCATGGGCCTTTTATGGCCTTTCTTCTACTGCTTCGCGTTGCCGCTTCCCAGGTCTGAGGCATGGGTTCAGGGTTTGGGGCTCAAAATAAGCCCTAGGGAGTATTTGAGGGCTCGCGCTGTGGGGTCTAGTAACGGCATGAAATCGGTTTGCGTCTAGACATGTATATGTAGATCGCGCGTATCAGAAACACACAATTTTGGGGGGTACAAGTCAAGAGCGTTTCAAACAATCAAACCTTCCGAACATTCCGGGTGGGTGGGTGGGACGGATGGGATGCATGGATGGATGGGTTCACATTGTTCACATTGTATTTTTCAATCTGGAGCTTCCTAGACCCAAGATCCAAGAGTCCTCACGACTCCTTCACATAGAACATTGGAAACAACGGTTTCATGGAGTTTTGAATATCTGGTTTCATTGTGTGGTGTCATTGTTGAAGCTGCTCATGCATTTGAAGGTCCTGAAGGTGGGTACTTTTTTCTGGGGGTGGGGGGGCAGGTACCCTTCAGAAATAGTCGATTGGACCACCTCACTCCTGAATCCCTGTGCCCGGAAACACCGCAATGGCAGAGCCACAATTTCGGGATGACAGTGTGCCTTGACTGCTGCCTTGCCATCAACAGTGCTGATCTGAACAGAGGCGCCAAGCATCGCATCAAAAACGCTGATAACCTGCTCGCTGTAGATGTCTGCACCGTCTCTGACAAACTCTTCTGACCGGCCAATCTTCAGTGTTAAGTACAAATCGCCGGGTGGTCCTCCCCTGGTACCTTTGTCGCCTTCTGCTCGCACCCGCAACCTGCTGCCAGCATTACAACCTACCGGAATGTTCACCGCCACCTCACGCGTAATGCTCTGCGTACCCTTGCCGCTGCACGCTTGGCAAGTTGCTTTTGGGTCTATTCCGGACCCCTTGCATTTCGGGCACGCTTGCGGCGTCTCCATGCCACCTAGCGGAGTTTGCTGAAACTGGACGGTGACACCAGCTCCTCCACATCTCCGACACAGCTGATTCTTCTCACCCTTGGCATTGGTCCCTTGCCCGTTGCATGTCTCACACAGCTCCTCCCTGTTGATACGTACAACATGACGCCCTCCAAAGCATGCAACTTCAAATGGGATTTCGACCCTGCATTGAAGGTCTGAGCCCTTCTGAGCCCTCGTTCTCCGGGCTCGTGAAGCTCGTGTACGGCTGCTTCGGCCAGTTGTTCTTGGGCCCTCGCGAAAGTCACTACCAACCCCGGCTCCTCTCGGAGGATCACTGGGACGGCCCCCAAAAAAAGAGCTGAACACATCGCCAAGAATATCATCGAGATCAACATCGGACAAGTCGGATCCAGGGCTCATGCCCTCAAGGCCACCATCACCGAACTGATTGTATCGCTGCCGCTTCTGTGAGTCTGAAAGAACCTCGTATGCCTTGGCAATCTGCTGAAACTTTTCCTGCGCCCCTGGCTCCTGGTTGATGTCTGGATGGTACTGACGGGCCAGCTTCCTGAAGCTGGACTTGATCTCCCGCTCATTGGCATTCTTGCTCACTCCTAGAACGTCATAGTAGTCAATCACACCGCGTGCGCAGCGGGCAAGTCCCCGACACCCTCGCGGCCGCTGGCTCCGGCGCAGAGAGATCGCACAAAGAACCAAGCCAAGAGTCTGGCAGCTGGCACAGCTGGCTCCTGCAAGGACATCGTGGTCCAGAAGCCTCCTGGCGCTCGACTCCAAGTTGGGCTGCACTGCATTCCGATGTCGGAGAGCTTGCGGAAGCTGCAGCCGGCTTGTCACAAGGAACGCGTTGTCCATGGCATACACATGTACCGGATGGCATCCGTTTTGGCTATAAATCGTTTCGTTACAAAGAACACTCGGAGCAGTGGTATGTGCAGCACTGAGACATTATGCTTTTGCTGCTGTCGCATTGCGTTTCGATAGCTGAAACTGGGCATCGACTGCCATCTATGTGAATATCCGGTAGCAGCTCTGCAATGCATGTGGCGCGCCTCCTTGGTACTGAGGGGAGGCTACGGACAACCAGTGGCTTCACCCATGACAACCCAATCACTGCCAGCCACCTACCAGATTCCAAGACGGGCTATTCTACCCTATGACCCCCTAGAAAAGGCCCTTTCTAGGGTTGATTAAGGGGATTCTAGGGCCGAATAGCCCATCCTGGTTCACAATGCTTCACAACTCACCGGCTTTTCTGAACAGTTTGCGAGCGCAAGCTCCGGATGCAAAGGTCGCTGAATGGAGCAACTGCTCATGCAAGCAAAAGCGGGTTTACCCCCTTGCTCATGCACAAATCGTGTGGCAAAATTGGACCAAACTCAGTTTTGAGAAACACAGGCCGCTCTTACACAAGCAGTTGCTGCGATGAAAACCTGCAAAGATGAGCCTTGGCAGTTTTGGCGCGACAAACCTTGCAAAGCTTGTCCACGTTAACAGTGCTCCATTGGCAACTGTTTGGCCTCCACTGGCAGCCATTTGGGCAACCAAGTGTGGGAGCTTCCGCGAACTCCCGTTGCAGGGTATAGAACCCGTAGAGTGCCAGGCAGCCGGAATAAGGTCATGCTCCCATGCTACAGCGCAAAGCGCATACCCCCAAGTACTGTTTGACAAGGACTTTTGCGCGTTTTCACTGCTCGGCCTGCCAAAGGTCGCATACCACTGCCATGCAGGCAGTTGATGCTACAATTCCGTTTTTCCAATATAGACATGGAGGAAAGCAGAGTACCACCTGTTGGGATGGCATTGCTCACAGCCTGGCTTTGTGTGGTCTCTGCCTTCCGATTGGCTGCATTACTGGCAGTGAGTGGTGCAAGAGAAGGTCTCCAAGTCAGCATACATTGCACGGCTATGTACTGACTTTGTTCAATCCTGCTGTTGAAAAATGGCTGAGATCTTGGGACGCAAAACTTCACCGGCTGCAAAAGCATGTGACCGGCTCTCATCATCTTCTAGATGATCTCACCTGGCAGCAAGGCAAACGCCCGTGACTCCTAATTCTTCTCTCTCGCAATCCAGGCCATACCCTGGTTGTGGAGGGCTTCATTTTCTTTCTCCAGAAGTGCTGTTTCCATGCTGGAGAAAGTCGAGTCCCCTTGATGAAACGAGATTGTCTTACCCCTCTGACCGTAGAAAATTAGACGTGACCTGATGGCCTGGCCATGACCCTGTGCTGAAAAATCAAAAGCCGTTTCTGGGCGACGGTATCTCAAAACACTTCGGTCATCTTTTGAACATGCGGAAGTTACATACAAGTTACATCGACCCAGGGCTCAACGAATGATCTCACATTGTTCGTGAAGACTCGTGCAGCAATTGTCCCAGGAATCTTTCGGTGCGTCTTGGTTTGGCTTTCATTGGATGCAAGGACGTGCGACATCGTGCAAGTGTTTGCAAACACGGGGGGACCATCGGCTTCGTGACGCACAGGCGGCAAAATTAACTTGTAGACTCATCGTGGATGTTGTGTTGTTGCTGTGTCAGTGCTGTGTCCGTGTTGCAGTTTTTCAAGAGGTGACCGCTCCAAACGATGTCATGTTGAGAACGCTTCCAACTGTGGGCTCTTGGTTTTTACAAGGAACTACACAACAATTCTCAGCAGCTATCGCTCAGAAGTTCTTCCGCTCTGCCACTCTGTCACTCTGCTTCGGTGGAACGCAGAGTCCTCGGGCAGAAAATGCATCAAGTCAAGAGTTCCCGCGGCATTGTTCCTTTCGGAGTACAGGCAGAGGCAAACTAGAAAGGGAAGAAGAGGATACGTAAGTTCGTGCGACAAACTTCTATGCACTAAAATGAGCCTGCTTGGTTGGCCCTCAATCTTTCTTGGTTTTCGACCCTGCTGCTCTTTGTTTGTTGAGGATCTGCAGGCAACGTTTGCCCTTTGATCTATAGTCATTCGTGATATTCTCCGGCCATTTGCCTTGGACGTGCTTTGAAAGCACACCAGAAAGAATGGCTTCAAAGCTTGCACGTGGGCAGGATTGCCTAGACTTGCAGACGTGGCAGCGCGATTCACCTCACCACTGAATGTGCAGTAGGGGTTGCATGCACGGCTGCAACACCACGTCTGGGTTTCGAGGAAGTATTGAAAAGTTGTGGACAGAAAAGCCTACAACCGACCAGGGCAAAGGTGACTAGAGTCCAACATCGAGGGCCAAGCTTGTAACGCGGGCGCATTGCATCCTGGCAAGAAGGAAGAGACGTGAGGCTAATGCAGTAAAACGATAGGGTGGGGCCTACGCCGATCTCAATCCGCGTAATACTCCGGCCTAAGGGGATTTCCAGAGACAGGCACAGCCAGTCTGCCATCCTGTCGTTTCTGAGACACATGCGCAGCAGCTTGCAGCAGCCGCACCAGCTTCTGCCTGTCTTCCTGGGATGAGCAAACACAAGCCATTGCCCACTTCTGCCCACTCTGTGTAGCAAAATGTGCGGCCTCCGATTGTTGTGCAGGGCCAGCCTCGTCACAGCGAGCTCGGCTGGTACATGCTCGGTACACTCCGATTGCGCGGTGTGAATACGTGAGGCGACGTGAAGCTTCGAGGGACAGGCTGCCCAGGGAAACGAGAATGGCGGCACCTTTCCAGCATGCTTTACTCGCATCAGTCTCGCATCCACATTGGCACTTCCCGAGGACCTGATGCAAACGAAACTTCACCTGACTTGGGCCCTCACTTGCCCACACATCATCTGCCTTGTCATCGGCCGAATCGCTTTGCAAACATGTCACTCGGAAGGCTGAGGCCGCGACGGCGGCGTTGAAGCAGTGGTCCGTGCCGCTGGCTGCACAAGTGAGTCCACGCTTGGTGGGCCTGCTTGTCTGCCCGGAGCATTGTCTGTGGATATCGCCTGCAGCACTGAAGCGGAAGCTGAGCGGAGCGGATGCACACGTTGAGCGGGATGCACATGGCATAAGAGATGGTAAGAAATGCAAAAGGCGCATCCAGGCGTTAGCCACTCACTTCAGGCCTGGCTGCCAGCCTGGCTGCCGGACCCTCCCCAGGGAGGGAGCACCGCCCGCGATGTTGCTACAGAGCCTGTCCAAACCATGGGCCTCAGTTTTCGACAGTGACGAATCACACGTTGGGAATGTCGGTGTTGCTGTTGCAAGCGTTCGATGCACTTCGGTGCACTGGTCATGGGGCACCAAGCCCCATGAAACCTTTCATGTTGCTAGCTGTAGTTCTTAAGCCCTCTCCAATTCTCATGGAGAATTCTGCAGAAGCAACTGGACCAATACATACAACGCTGGGCAATGCTCCTTTCTCAAAGCAGCTGAGAATAAACAGCCGAGAGCATGACCAGCCACCACCTTGAACGTTGCCACCTGGTGGCCCACTCCCAAACGCAAGTAGAAAAAAGTGCAACAGGAAGTGCGCAACTCGGCCGAGGCAGCTGCAGTTCAGACTTGCGCATGGGACCTCGGATACAGGCGAAAGGAACTTTTCCAGCTGCGCAAGCTGTGCAGCCAGGCTGGGCGCAGCCAGGCTGGTTGAGCAAGATCACCGCTGCGGCATCATGCATGCCGACAGAGATCTGGAGGAGAGACCAAGGCGCTGACAATGTGTGGCTTCTGAACAGCTTGTGGTGGTTGGGGTTGGGACCTTTCTTGGCCACAAACGAAGAGACGAATCGTCAACAAGAACTGCTGATTCCCAGCATCACAGCCGGAGAAAAACCGTCAGAGACCCCAAGTTGCCAAGGCCGTTGCAGGAGCTGCTGCTGGTCACCCCTTGCCCCGGGGATCTTTGGGGGGGGGCAGCCAGTTTGCGTGCAGCGGCGGTAAACGCGCGAACGTGAGGCAGGTTCGTCGCCGCAGGATTTGAAAAAAAAAACCACAGACCCTTCTGGAAGCTGGGCAGCCTTGGATGCTGGAAGGGCCAGGCTTGCTTCGGCCTCAACAAGCACACCATCAAGAAGTACTCATCGCATGAGGCTTGAGATGGCTCGAGTCTCCTCAGGATGCCACTCTGGCTGCACCTGCCTCTCCCCGATGATGTCGTTGCCTTCAAAGTTTGATGGATGCGAACGCCCAGGCCGAGCGAGTTGGCTCAACATGTTGCAGGAACCACGTGTTCAACAACCTTTGCCACATATCTGAAGATGTGAGGTCCCCACTACTCTTAGCACGCTTGACCTCAATGCGTCGCCCATCCTGGCAGCGACGCCGCATGAAGGGGCAATCCTCTCTTCCTGCAACATGACTTGAGATCCGTTTCCTTGATCTCCATGAAGCAAGATGATTCTGGACCAAGAAGGTCATCCACCTTAAAGGGCATGTGGTCGCGCTCGTCGAAATTTCCGGCACCGCTACGAAATCCGAGGGCTCGTCTGTGCAGGCGTCTTGGAAAATGACAAATCCAAAACCACGATGGCACTGCGAACGCTGTGCTGACGCCTGACTATGTTCCGCTGCAACGTGAGCACAGGCCATGGCATCCCGGAGATAGAGGAATCGTTTCTGCTTCTTCAAAGCTTAGCTGCTTAGCTCCGCACTTGCCCAAATTCATTGTCACTTTGGCGGTGGCGCTGCAGCCAAGCCTTCCAAACACAATGTTAGGGACATGTGGTCATGGCTTCGGCCGGTGCATTCATGTGCATTGTCAGCGTAAGCCGCTTCGGCTTGCTCCCCGGCCAATGCGCTGGCACGGTTTCCGATCACACCGCAACCACTTTAAGAGAGGAGCCTTCGTCACCGCCCCAAACTGGCTGAATAGTTCCTTGTCTCTCATGGCTGAAGGCCCTGGCCGACTGCCTGACACCACCCGTAAGTCCCCGACGCCCAGATCATCCTGTGTGAAATCTTGTGGGATGCCACCCACAAAAATTTTCCGCACCTGCAATCGTGAGTCAACTGGGCACTCTCAAGGTGGAATGCCGCTTCGCAAACCTGAGAAGGTGGGACAGTCTTGTTGTACCGGTCAAATTCCTGCAGTCCAACGGGGCTGAGCTTGCTACCGGCACTGCTGCAGCTGTCTCATGTGTATGGCGCGCGGAGTGCTACTGCAAAACCAGCATGCAACAATCCTGGGATGGCGTTGGGGCCGCAGATGATGGAGCGGGGCTGAACCTGGCATCGGCTGATATCCATTAAATCCATGGCCAACATGGTGTCCAGTTCGCCGACTTGTCCCAAAGCAAGGCCGGTGCCACTGCAAGCGGCCTTGGACTCCACCAATGTGGGAACTGACTTGACTCTGCAAAAAGTGCTAGGCCGCTAAGCTCCAGACTGCACTGGTCATCCAAACCTGGAGTTGCGCCTGCACTTGTGCTCACAGAGCTCAAAGGCCTGTTCCTTGGAGGGGCATGCGACGTCGCGCTGGTGCCGAACTATAAGCAATACTGAACAATAGACCGACCGGCCCTGGCGATCTGAGCTGGCAACTCCCAGGGCAAACGTCCAGGAGTTGCGGCGCCTTGGCAGATCGTGGGATTTCGCCCTCATCCCACTACAGCAGGCCCCCAGAGCCAGCAGAGGTACTCGGTAGGTACCCTAAACCCTAAACCCTAAACCCTAAACTCAGGCACCCCGCCCTTCCAAGAGCCGCTCCACAATTCTTTCAACTCCTCGCTGGGCGCACTTGGCAGCAAAGGTCTTCTAGATGCCGCTGTCACACAGGCCAAATATGGCCATTCAGTTTTGCGTAAGTGTTGCGAAGTTGGACTCTGCACAAAACCTGCTAAAGCTGACGGACTCTGACGGACTGTCCTCGATTTTTCTTTCAAAGATGAAGGTTGGCTCCCAATACTTCTATTTCTTTTTACTGGTGCCCTTCCTTCTCAGCAGCTTTCCGGTGCGTTTTGTTTTCGGTTTTTTGCCCGAAGTCTGGTAGAACTTGTTGGTGGGAGCAGTTGAGAGAAATGTGACAGCCACTGTGAGCCAACGCCCCAAGCTGTGCTTTCACCAATGTGCGCAGAACGTAATTTTGCATGTGGCAGCCAGCTAGCAGCGGGGGGGTCGCGGGCAACCCTCAGTGGCACCTGTTTTGTCTGATGTCTGATCCGCCACTTATTTTGCAAGGGTGGGGGTTTGAGAAGTAGGTGGCGATGCATGTGCCCGCATGAGCAGGCATGGAGCCAGTGCAGGACGGAGTATAGTGAATGAGTACTAAATAATGACATGAGAAGCCCCCGACAAAGAGTCCGATCCGGACCCGGGTTGCGGACCGAGGTTGCGGACCGGGCTGTGGGAACATTAGTTCAAAGGTCCCCCAGCTTCCGTGTCATAATTCTAAAAGACCCCCCTAATAACCCCCCCCCCCCACAGCAGGAAAAATTCACCCCGCTCCCCTCGGCGGAACGCAGCATCACAGCTAAAGAAAAAATCGAGCTGAGCAAAACACTACTCAAGGTCGTGGGGATCAGTTTTCAACGTTGGGTGACTCAATTGTCAGTTGTCATGAACAACTTGGTCTTACAGAGCTTAAGCCCGTTTTCATGAAAACGGCTGGTGTTTCCAGCATTGGACGACTTAAACGGGGAAGGGGAGCGCGAATGTGTTTTAGCTGGGCGAGTAGCATATTTAGCATACAACAATGCACCAGGAGCCTTGTTGCAGGCTGCTTCTTCGGTTCCTGGCACGCTGGCAAGCCTCGGTAGTTCAAGCGCCATGCGGGAACATGGTAAACATCGGTAAAGTGGCATGTCATGTTGGGCTCCATGCTGCTCCAACCTTATGACAAGCACTACGCACAGCACATGCCACTGCCAGGTCAGCATCACCTGGTGTTCCCACGCCTGTCGCCTTTGAGAGATCGAGGCGCCCGCGAAGGAGCAGTCGCATTCGCATTCGGAAATGGCCGTCGAGGTTGCGGGCACAGAGTCTCGGGCCTGATTCAGTTGCTGCTCATTACAAAAGGAAATCTGGCGACACAACAGAAAATGAACAGGAAAAAACCAATCGCAAGGGGCAGACGACGGGCTTCCGACAAGAGCCTGGTGCGCTAGACTGCGAGAGTAGACGTGCTCAGGCTCAGAAGAAAACACCACACACAGAGCCTTTTGCTGCGGAGAGCCCTTACAGGGAGTTGCGGGCGCGTCCTAGAGCAGCATTGGCAAAAGCGGGTTCTTCTCCTTTAGCACTGCATCGACCATGCGTCCTCGTTGTAGATATGCACCGGCGTTTGCACCATTTCTCCTGCAGCAACGGCAAGGTTCCAGACAAAAACCAACTTGATCCACGCACGACCATAGAAAGTAGCGAATCAATGTCAAGGATCAAGGACGAATAGGGGCAAAGGGCATTGAGAATCTCTTAGAACATGGCCCCGCTCCTCCGCTCCGTCTGCGGCGGTCTGCCTTGTGGTTGCCTGAGATGCTCGACTGGGAACCGTCTGTCGACAAGAGCGCACCTAAACTCCAAAAGGCAAGTCAACGGAAACACCGGGCAAAAACAGCTCAACACTCGAGCTTCTGAGCTTTCTTGTACCCATTCTTCATTTCATCATACTTCAACAGTCAGCGAGTGCTGCCAAGCCCTCCCCTCTCTCTTTCTCTCCTCGTGCACCGAAGCTCGTGTGACGAAAGGCCTATCGCAGAAGGCCGGTCAGAATGCTGTGTTGTGCGGGTACTCAAGGGTTGGGGCCAGGCAGCTGCAAGCCGAACATATGTGTGGATCAGGATTTAAACGCTAGTCCAATCTCATAGAAGTCCTAGTGAACAGCCTGACTAAGGATGGTGCGCTGGTTGCTCATTGTGTCTCCACCAGCCTCTTTCTGATCCTGCAGCTGCCAAATCTCTCACATACTTCTCCGAAGGCATTTCAACAATCAAGTGATAACTGAGATGTGCACACAGCGGAGCTCCAACCTCCGCTAGAGAAATTGGGAAAATCATTCCCAATCTGAGCCAAGAAGTCCGCGGACGGTGCGCTTGCCCAAGCAGGAAGAGGATAGCACTGCGTAGCGCAAGTCTTCAATGCCACGAGAAACTGAACTGCCACTGATGAATCGTCGCAGAACCACTCACTGGGCGGAGGCATACACACACACACACACACACACGCACACACACACTCTCCCATACTCGACCACACAACAACACCGTTGGCTCGCTGCTGTTCAAGCGCTGACATACTGTAAAGCAACCAGGCCGCGACCGCAGGGGCAGAACGGATCTCACTCTAGCCAAGCATGGCTCCACTTTGCCAAGCGACGAAGTAAACTGAGGATTCAGCAAAAGTAAAGTCGGAAGTCAGAAGTCCTAAAAGTGAACATGGCGAAAGGCGGCCCCGAACCGAAACAAACCAACAACGCTGAGCATTGCTGCCACAATCCGTTTTGGCAGTCTGGCACAGCACGTCAGACCGATGCAACTTCATGTTGGCGCAAGTGGGAGCCTCAGCTGTCCAGATGCAGACCCTGTCGGGGGCAGAGAATCACGACATCTCTGAGGATCGCGCTAGAAAAGATTCGATTTCTGCCTGAGTGGACTTCCCGCACTGAGAACCCCTGCCAGTAGTGCAAGATTGACTTGATGTTTATTTTTGCAATCACCAAACACGGCAAAGATCTGGTGCGTCTTGCACCGCTGGGTAAGAGAACATCAAGCCTCATGTCACAATGACTCGGGCCAGGTCGAACATACCATACATGCTCATTCCAGGCAATTCTGGCGAACATCAGCCCCAGTGAGCGTTCTAGCTTCCGGCTTTCCCACGTGACTTGGCTGACACAAGACTCGTTGTTGTACCTAACCGTATGCCTTCTGCAGTACTTAATTTAAAACAAAGCCTCCAGTCATGGTGATATTGGTGATGACCCAGTTTTCTCAGAAGTTAGTGCTCGATTCAGCATGTTCAAGGCATACTACTGCCTGTACGAGGTTATCTTGTCTACTACGTGGAAAGTAGCACTGCTTTTTGCCCAAGAGTCGGCCTCTACATGGGTCACGGCTCACTATTAAGATTGCACTTGCTATACCATGCGTAGCATCGCATGATGAAAACTCATCACTGGTAGGCATACAAATGCCGGAGAACCATCCTGAAAGTCAGAAGCCCTCCAAACACAGCACTCTTGAAGCAGCGGCTGTTGTCATCAAGGTCTCGGCCAAAGCCGAAACATCGCAAACGAAGCTAGAAATGAACCTGAGCAGTGCAAGATGCTGACAAGGGATTTGCGCGCGACTGGCATCTAGCGGAGAGACACTCCTGCAACGCGATGCAAACTGCTTTTTTCTGCAATTTCTCGTGCGACAATGTGTTTGTTAAGATTTCATAGGCTTGGCAGGAAACCTCAGGCTGCGTGCCATGCCACATGTGAGCATGCACAAACTTCGCGGCATCTTTACCCAGCAGAGCCTCTGTACAACATGCCACCGAATGCCAGGTTCAAGGTATTGGGCTGAGACGCTGAGATGCTTCGTAGTCCAGAAATGGAAGTCCGAGAACGACTTCTTGCAAACCAAGCTGTTCGATTGATGCACAAAGTCACGTATGCAAGCGTCGCTGGCACCTGGAAAATTTTTTGCAAGCAATACGGCCATGGTTTAGAACACAAGGCGGACATCTGGGCCCATCCCACCACATGCAACTTCATTGCCGGGTGTCGCCCAGAAAAGATGGCTTGCGGACCACAATGCTACCAATCCATGCGAAACATTCGCTTGCAGGCCTTGACCAAAATCAGCATTTGCCTGAGATCGGTCCAAGGAAGATTCAAAGAGGTACCTGCAGGTGGGCAACCTGCCAGAACCGTGAAACGAGAACAAAGAGAGCCACCATCACAACGCGGCATTATCTGTAACAGAGCTTGACATTTCTTTCCACGACTGTTGCACCGCTTTTCAGTGCGTGCTACTCTACATTTCCTGTGCAAGGGCATGGCCCTGAATATGGTACATCGTGCCGGGGATTTTCTACCAGGTAGGGAACGAACACAAAAAAATCTTGATGCGCTGTGTCCGTTGTGCCTAAGCCTGGCTCATTCTACAGCTTCAACTTGCGCACTCTCATCTGGGAGTCTGCACTGGGGTCTGCTTGATGTACGTGAAAACTGTCTCCCTGTCGAAGGACACCGTCTTCTCGTGAGACTTTCCAGCCTTTGTCTATCAACACACTGTGCGTATAATGGCACATGGTGTCTTCAGACATCACTGCGCACTGGCACTAAGCACGCCGCAGCTGTTTTGCAGCTCCTCATACACAGCACTTGAGCCGATGACATCTGGTCCCTTGTTAGACTGTCAAACTGTGCACTCTATATATATGCACATATAAATATATATATATATATATATATACATTATTATATATACAAGCACGTGTGCAAACAAGTGGCGAGCATACGCTGCCTTTCTTGGTCATGACGAGGCAGTTGTTGCAAACCAAATGCCCGCAGGCAGCTGGAACCAAGCCAACCTCATCGGTGCCACACAGGTGCTGATCTGCAATGCTGATATGTTTCCCACTTTTCTGAAGACGAGGTGCGATCCCTGGGGCACTTGAGCAAACATAGCATCGTCCATCCTTGGATGTCAACGCGGCGCTTTCAACCATCTCTTGCGTCACTTGACTTCAAAACACGTGACACACCAAAGCCACACATGTCAGGCCAATGCAATGACCAGGCTCTAAAGTTCCGTGAAGCCCATCAACACCCTCGGACACAAGGTTGTGTAGAGAAGCTTGCGCAGCCTCGAGATTCTGCAGGGCAACCCAACAACTTGCACATGCTGTCAGGCTGTCAGGTAGATAAACGAATGTCTTTGGAGGCCAGTGACGATGTCTGCGCCTTCTGACTGATACTTGCGGCCAACTGCCGCGTGAGCCTGAAAGCGGCGGGCGCAACGTCTGGACAAGATTGGACAGCTTATACAGATATATACAGATGGCAAACGGATGGCAACGCGATGAAAAAGGTAATGTAATGTAACGCGTAAGCGTTGCCGTTGCGCGTTTGCTTTCATTGGTTTTCGTGGGACGAAAGTCACGCTGATGTGTTGCATTTTGCTAATGTTTTCTTGGCATGGTTGCTGGCACGACGGGTTTTTGCTGCTTGTTAAGCAAGGCCTTGTAGAGGTTCCCCCAATGTCTGCCGTCAGGCAGAATTCGTATTAATTCATAAGCACTGCAAGCATGACTTCGGCTCGTGTGCTGGAAGCACTGAAATGTACGCTGTTCTCAGGCATTCCACGTGACTTAGACCTGGGAAGGTACACAAACCCACCACTGCAGTTCCAAAAGCAATGTTGGAGAAATTTCAGGCGACTTCTGACACTACAAGCACTGGTTGTTCAGCTCGTTTGCCAGTCGGCGCACAGCCGTACGGGCATGTTCGCCAAAAAAAGAGAGAGCGCTTGTGACAGTGTGTTTGCTGCAATGTCACAAACATCCTTGCGCCGCACGTCGTGAAAAGAGGCAAGAACACTGTAATCATGTAAGCATAGACCCCAAACAGTGGGAGACCATGTGGAAATGCGGCATTTTAAGGGTCCTCCAAACTTACACAAGAGCACTCCAAGAGCTCCAACCTTCCATTGGCACAGGAAAAACATGATTCAACAGAACTCCAAGAGCAGCTCAAGGGTTCACTGTTCATATGGGGACACGAAAGAGCAACTTGAAGCAGCTTGGGGCATGCAAGCGGTGTGCTGAGGGTACAAAAATGTCTGGCCTTGCACTGTATATTTAGTATTTGGGGTGCTGGTTTGATCCTACAGTATGTTGTTCAGAGAAGCAAATCACTGCAAATAACAGCTTTCTGCTTAGTAAGTTCATGGCCAGTAATTTTAGTGTCGAAGGTTGCCTGGCTCTTTTCCTTTGTTGATGACTTCGTTCTTCGGGTCTTTCTGTAGTTTGCCACCTCTTCCTGACTTGAATTTTTGTGGTGTGTCTTTCTGTCGATCTGCTTGTATTTGGTACGTCATTTCTTTTTTGAGTCCTTCTTCCTGTGCCTTTTTTCCTTTATGTCGTTCATTATGCCTTTCTGTCTTTGTCTTTCCTTCTTTCTTTCGTTTCGTTCTTTGTTTCTTTCTGTGGGGGCGGGGGGGGGGGGGCATGTGACTTAGCGACCATGCCAGCATAGACCCCAAACAGTGGGAGACCATGTGGAAATGCGGCATTTTAAGGGTCCTCCAAACTTACACAAGAGCACTCCAAGAGCTCCAACCTTCCATTGGCACAGGAAAAACATGATTCAACAGAACTCCAAGAGCAGCTCAAGGGTTCACTGTTCATATGGGGACACGAAAGAGCAACTTGAAGCAGCTTGGGGCATGCAAGCGGTGTGCTGAGGGTACAAAAATGTCTGGCCTTGCACTGTATATTTAGTATTTGGGGTGCTGGTTTGATCCTACAGTATGTTGTTCAGAGAAGCAAATCACTGCAAATAACAGCTTTCTGCTTAGTAAGTTCATGGCCAGTAATTTTAGTGTCGAAGGTTGCCTGGCTCTTTTCCTTTGTTGATGACTTCGTTCTTCGGGTCTTTCTGTAGTTTGCCACCTCTTCCTGACTTGAATTTTTGTGGTGTGTCTTTCTGTCGATCTGCTTGTATTTGGTACGTCATTTCTTTTTTGAGTCCTTCTTCCTGTGCCTTTTTTCCTTTATGTCGTTCATTATGCCTTTCTGTCTTTGTCTTTCCTTCTTTCTTTCGTTTCGTTCTTTGTTTCTTTCTGTGGGGGCGGGGGGGGGGGGGCATGTGACTTAGCGACCATGCCCACAACACTGGTATTTACGGCCCTACAACATAAGATTCTCAGGGTTTGGGTTGAGGGTTTAGGTCAGAGGGGACGTCATTATATACCCCCCCCCCCCCCCCGCCCCCAGACCCACAACACCGAACAAGATCCAGAAATTCGCTGAGAAAAAACCTTGCTCGGTTATGGGAGCGCTAGCTAAAGCCATAAAATCTAGTTGGCAACTCACGGGTGGAGAAAAAAGACACACTCAGCGGTATCTTAGTGTCGACCTCAGAAAACTCGCACCGACATGCCAAGGCGCTCGTCGCTCTTCCCCAACCATTCCGGGCGGGTTGCGCGATGTAGTTCTACTCTGGAACGGTGCCACCTGATTGGATGTGCCGACACAGTCGCTGGTAATATGCACGTGTGCATGTCGATCCATCCCACACATTGCTCCAAGGAGCCATTTGAACCACACTGCTTTCGGGTGCTTCCTCAATCGCTGGCATCCCCAGGTGCTGTGGATACAGCGCCCCAGGAAGGGCCATCACGCTATCCTAGGCACATGGCATGGAGCTATGGAGCTGATGTGCGATTGGCTGCTACCACTTGAACTGTTACGGCCAGCTGCCGCTTCCGGAGGACTGGTCGAGCTCGCTGCATCTTCAGGCCTGAAGGGACAACGCAGCACCTTGATTTCTGGAACCTGGCTTGAATCTCCCACACTCGAATTCAAGGCTCAGTTGGGTACCTTACAACCTTACGGGCCGTCACACGTTCACTGGCATGACGGCTGCCTCGTGTCCCAAGCTTCCAGGTGCTTGCCGGCATCATCTGCTCTGGTGGGCACTGGCTTCTGCTCCATGGACAAGGCTTGACCTTGCTGCAAGAACTTGTCGTCTCAGAGAAATGAGAACAACTCTGCCGGCGAAGTTCAGGCAAACAAGCACCCAGAGCAGATAGGGCACGCATTCGCGAGCAATGTTGGCCAAATAAATCAAACAATATCACTTGGTACATGCAGACCACGAAGGTGAAGCCGCAAACCGCCTGTCCCAACTTGCAGCTGCATCTGTTGAAGACTAACAATGTTCGGTCTAAGGTACAACAAACAAGCAGCCGAAGGCTAAGTCAGGCACTCCCAACTTGATGAAAAGAAACATGCGTTCATCTTCTTCGCGTGGAGGGGCCCTGGTCAGCAGCAGTGACATTGGATACGGCAGAGATCATGCAGCACTGCTAGTTCTGACGTTCTTGAAATGCGCAGGAAACAAGACGAATAAGGCTTTAGCTGCAGGAATGCTGGGACGTCGATGAAAAGAAACCAAATCATCAAAGGGTAGATGGTGACATCGAACACTATACAGGCACTCAGAAGAAGGCAGTGCCGTCCTCAGCAAGCTTCTGATATGACAGAGGCATGGAAAACTTTCTTGCTCACCAAGTAAGAAAAACAAGCAGATCAGGCAGGCGACGGACTGTCCCAGGTTTAGCAAATAAGTTGTCCACATCTTCTTGCCGCACCATTGCTCTCTCAAAACCGAAGGATCATGCTTTTTTGAGCCGGGTGCCTGAAGGGACATGAGACGCCTCTGCCTCCTAAGCCAAGTTCCATTCACAACCACACCGGCTTTGGGTTCTTCTGGGTTCTTCTGCTCCGGGGCACCTTGGCCCCTGCAAAACACACTGAGAAAGGAACGAAATGCCTTCGGAAAAAGGCCCTACCTGAGCAGGCATTGCTTGTCCATGCGCCAAAGTTGCAAGTTGAACCCGAGCTGGGCTACCTCTTTACAACCTTGTTCCGGACGAGAACACCCCCCCCTTCCCTGCCTACCCCCTTACCCCCCCCCCTCCCGCCCGAAAACCGAATATGAGATTCATAAGTATGGAAGCTAAAGTTATAGTTGACGGCGAATCATCGATTGTGTTTGAATCAGAACATGTCTTTTTGGGGAAACATTGCGCACGGTTTAGCACTGAAGCTTCAGACTCCAGCGCCACGAACGGCGAAGACATGACCGTGTTCTCTCCAACAAAACGGCACACCATGGCATGCCCATGGCAACGCCACGCGTGATTGCAAATCACTCAACGATGCGACCTGAACCAGGAAAAACTCGGCTAGTGGCTGAGTCTGTTGCACCTGTTGGTTCTGAGTCGGCCAGGCCTTAGACCAAAATCATCCAAACTCTTTCCAGCTTGGCACGCAAGCACCTCCAGATCACCTTTCACTGGGTCCCGCGCCATGTTATTCATCTGGGGCTGGGGCCTCTGCGTGTCGCATCCCCCCAAACCAACGTTCAGCGAAAATCTTCGGGGAGAGGCTTCTCTTTCTGAGAATGTCTGAGAATGTGGCGCAAACGCTGCTGCTTGTACCGACATTGGCCTGCAGTGTGCTTCAGGCTGGCGAAAAAAGAATGGCAGCGACAACTACCACCACAAGATCTTGTGCATTGCCACTGCAACCAAGACTGGCACGCAGGTGCCTTGCTTCAGGTGAAGTACCCAACGACACACAAGGGCTGCACGGCTCTCAAATGCTGGATGAATCTATGAGGCTCCAGCTCCCCACTGAGTCCATGCATTGTAGAAAGGCTGCACTGCAGGTGGCCTAAGAGTCTCACAGGTGGTACGAATACCCCGTTATCTCCCACATGTGCCGCACGTATGTGGGAAGCCTCCAGATCCACGTTAAGGGTCGCACGCGCCGTCGTGGCACGGCCTGTGGGTGCCCAATGTGCACGTCGACCAGGCAAGAGGCCAAACATAAATCTGTATGCAGTGATGCGTAAATGTGAACAAAAAACAAAGAGGCTCCGCACATTCCGGGAAAAGGTGAGACAGCCATCTGCATCTGCAGAGGCTGCCCTTGCTGACTAGACCTGTCCAGTGGCATGGACCGTTGCACATTCGAAAGCTTCTCATACAAAACCTGAGAGCAAGGCGGCATGAAATGTGCTGGCGCTTGCTGCAGGGGCCTCATGCGATGCAAATACCACAGGTGCCATGTCTGCAGGGTTGTTTTCGTCTGTGATGCGTTCCTTTGAAGAGCCGCCTGACCCCGTGAACCGCATTACAACAATCTGTTGCGACTCCTACCTTGCTGTTATCGTATTTTGACGGATCTCCACGTGTCACCACGCGTCACCACGCCACTTTGGACAGTACTCTTTTGCGGACATCTATAAGACGTTAAGGCGAGGATTTTGACACTCCTAGGGCTGCTCATGGCTGCTCTTCCGAATTCTAGCTACAAGTATGGGCCTTGTCCGGCCTCCGCTCAAAAACGAAATAAGAGAAGAGCTGGCGAGAGTTAACACGTTTTTCATGTGTGTGACGGGGCTGAACCGTGCTGCAATGTGGGGCTACTCTTCGCGAAACAGGGGTGCAAACACACGTGCAGCCGCAGCGCAGCGTTGAAAATTTGATTCGCCTTCGGACTCTGTTCAGACACGTCCGAAGCACTGCAACTGCGTTGCATTTGTGTAGCGCTCCGAGCTACCGGCATAACCATCCCTGCAGGAGCTCGCACGTTTTGTGCAGCCTCAATAGCCCAAAGGTCAGTCCGCAGATTTTGCACGTTCCCACAAAGCTCTTTGATTGTCATGTCTGGGCAACTAGGGGCCATGCCATCGGAACACCAGCGACAGCTGGCATCACAGGCTGCGAATGAACCTGCGGCGGCCTCAGCTGCAACCTACACGACCAAGGTCGATAGACTCAATAGAACCAACATCAAGCAGAACAGCCTTTCACTGCATCATCGGGTACAGTTCTGATGCTTTCGCCTATTTCACAAAAGACGTGGGAGGCCGCGACATGGACTGCGGATGCTCGCCGCCGCCACCCATGGTAGGCCACGGTGATGGCGATGCTTGCGCCTCATGGAAACCGCAAACATGTTTGAAACGCAGCCAGCCTGGGAGCAGAAAGCCGAGAGGCAACCATCATCCCAGACGGTGGCATCATCAAGCCGGACCTTACTTGCGTGCGCCGCGAAGTGTGCGCACACACACACATGCATGCACACACACACACACACACACACACACACACACACACACCCACCCGCGCACGCGCGCACACACACACACACAGAGACGGACACACGGATGCCAAGAGCATTGAGGTGAAGACATTGGCTGCGCAGCGCTTCCAAAATTTTGTCCAGCATTTGATGCGGCCATGCTACCTGGTGTTGCCATAGGCATGAGAACTATTGCCCTAAACTTTCCACACATGTTGATAAAAGTGTGTTAGCATCCAACTCCTCAGGCTTGGACAAACTCCCAAGAATCTCTCAACAGTTTAGTTCATGAACGCTTTCAATTTTGTTCGGTTGCCCTGTGGACATGGCTCTTTATAACATGCCGAAAGAGGCTTCTGCAAAAATAGGAAATGTGCTGACACTGAGCTGCTTTCGATCGGGCGCAGTCCAGACTGGTCTCAGACTTACACGCCCGAATCTGCAGAATGCTAAACGGCATATTCACGAAAGCAGCTGCAGCAATCGGCAAAGGCCACCTTTATCTAAATGGGGTTTTCATGACATAAACTTCTGTTCCTGAGGCTTCATGAAGCGACCCGGACAACTTAGGTGCGGCACAAGGTATCACTACATTGGACCCCTGCCAGTCCTCCGCTTGCATCCGGTCGTGCTGCCGGAGGATGTGGTCCACCGCAACCTCCCTGGACATTCATGATGCTGTCACAGTTTGACACGTCTCAGACAAAATCGATGCAACCCACAAACGTAAGATGCTGACGTATCTCTGAGGGTTGTTTGTCGGCACAGACATGCCAACGGACTCTGCCGAGTGGAACCCACTTCCTTCGCCACAGAACATGCCCCTCTGGCATCCTTCAGTGCGGTGAGCTTTGCCAGTCCTTTTGAAGACTCCTCTGGCCGCCTGCAAAGAAACGGCACCAAGCAAATGCATAGCAGAGCCGGCATGCCGAGGCCTCAAACCATCATCGGGCATATCAGTGCCTGCTGCAATCAACAAAGTGACAAAGTCTCTCCTACCAGGGGATCGGCCGCTAACGCTCCCACACTGAGACTGCAGCTGCTAATGGCTCGCTTGACTTCAAGTTTGCGACCATCTCTCACAGGGATGAACTTGGACACTTCTGAACCTTGCAGCTGTTAAAACTGGTTTCAGATTGCAAAAAAAATATCATCCGAGTTCGGCGCCCAAGAAGCGATCGACAGCACTGGTCTCTTGGAAAATCACAAAGCCGAAGCCTGGAAAACAATGCAGGCTGCCACTTTGCCATTGACGCTCCTGAGAGTTTCTTGATGCATGTGACCCGTTCTTCCCTGATGTCTCGGATGTATTCTCATGCACAATGTCAGAGCAGAACTCAAAGGGAACTGAATATTAGAAATGAAGTAGGACATGAGGCCGCGCCGTTAGGGAAGGACGGGAAGACCGTTTGGGGCAAACGTCTACAGTTCGAGAAAGCGGGGTGGGGTGGAGGACTACTAGTAGGACAACGGCGAATACGCCTACACTTACTCCGACTACTCTCCTACTCCTACTAGTACGACTACGAAGACTACTACGACTTTATTACTACGACGATGACTACTACTAGGGGGTTCGCGTTTGATCGATCAGGTGTGGTCAAATGACGGGGGGGGGGTCTCATTAGAGTCGAACAAGGGGTGGTTCTCGGGATGGGACAAGAGCCCCCCTACGCCGCTAACGGCTTCTGCCATGGGAAGACAGCGAAGCTTCAGGAGCACAGCTTGGCTGCATCGCCCCAATGCCCATAATGGCTTTCCTGTGCATTCTAAAGCCGGCGCGACCATATAGAGCCAATGGCACTGAATCGAAAGTTGTGCAGCGAAAGTCCTTTGGAGGCTTCGTTTCCAGATGCTACGAGTACTGCATCTTGCTCCGCTGAAAGCCAAGCACTTTCGTGGTCTGCTATGTCGGGATTTGAAGAAGCACGCCAAAACATTCTGAAAGTGTGTCCCGTCCTGATGAGGATGAAGCCCAATGAAGCCCTTCTGAATACGCGGCCAGCACTTTCAGCGACAGCACACTCAAAAAAAAGTGAGAGAAAGCTGCTCAACCCTGAATGCCGCAGATTCCACCAAATGGGCAACCACCAGGGCCAACAGGAAGCCCTCAAGTCCACGTACGAACCGCCCCATACACGCACAATGTTACGGAGTTTTGAAGTCTGGGGACCCTCAAACACGTTCCGAAGCAACGCAAGATGGACAGCAAGTTCGAAACAGCGAAAGCATGAAATTATGGAAAGGGATATGAACAGGGAATGAGAGGGATGAGGAGGGCAGGACCAAGGGGGGCGGGCCCTAGACAGGTCAGGTGCGGAAGCTATGGCAACCAAGCTCTACACTAGTCCCCAAAGCAACTGAAAGATTCCGAAAGTCCTTCTTCCAAGTTAAAATAAACGACGCGATGGAATTCAGATTGTTCGTTCTCTTGTGTCTTGAACCAGGGTGAGATCCATGTGCTGTCGTCAGCGTGCTCTAAAAAGCTCAGTGTGGAAGGATGCGGAACACATGTTTTACTTGAGCACATTCAAAGCATTTGCTCTTTTCATGTGGTTGTGGGTGTGTGTGTGTATGTCTGTATGTGCGTGTGCGTTTTGTTTTGCTTTCAAAAAAGGTTGCTTGCTGTCGTTCGCTTGTTCATGCATCATCCCTGCCATCTCGATGAAAGACTGTTAACTTTTGATGCACAGGCTGTATTTGGTTGATGGCTTGGTTGTGAATTAGCGCCCACGCTGGATTGCACATAAAGCGTTCAGATGTTCTCCACGTGACATTCATGTCACACAAAGACTGAAGACCCTCGTGACACCCCATCGAGTGCCACACCACGATGGTTGTGCGAAGTCGGAGACTTCACTTTAGTAGCATCCCTGTATCGCCTCGACTGACACACATTGAGATCCCTGCATGGACTCCTTGCAAAAATTCGCGACATGATTCATGATAATTTGACAGAGGTTGCGACTGTACCCACGCCTTCCTGACTGGAGCCTCAGGTGGTCAGTTCTGCGTGCGAGGCACCGGAAATGCTTCGCTTGAGCTCATCACGATTTCGCTGAACAGCTTGAGCAAATCTTCTTGCTGCATGTCCTGCCGAAGAAGAATGTGCGCACATCATTGTCCCTATTTTATTCTATTTCGCACAGCACTCCTGAGGAATGCCGCCTACGAAGACTTTCCGAACTTGTGTTGGGAACGCCTGTCCGGGAGGCATCTGAACAAAGCTACATGAAAGACAGCTGCCGATCGATGGTGCCTTGGAATCTCGTGCGAAGCTCTCGCTGCTGTTTTGCGGCGTTCGAGCTTTACTTGAAACCTTTGCAACTCAATGCTGGGTGTGAAGGCCCTTTTCTACGGCTGAAACATCCCAACTAAATTGCCAGCTGCCGCTTCCAAGCTCCAAGGATTCTGCATTACGACGGGCACCAACCGCGACAGCTGGAACAAAACTCGGACTTGTCCGGCCGTCGGGACCTTGACTCGAGATCGGTTTCGGGCTATGTTCGGGCTATGCGCCCCACTTGCACGCCTATGTTGTTAAAACCTTGGCGTAGTGCATAGTCGGCACAAACAAGCGTCCAGAGGCTTTAAGAATCAGGCTTGGGGTTGGCCCAGCACCTTATCCAAGCAGGACCATGCAAGCTCGAAACAGCGATGAGTTGAACCCGCCTGCCGAACACTGAGGCGGATGCTGGTGCTGATTGAGCTAAGTGGACGGTTGTGTTCAGCGTGGACTTCACCTGAAAAAAGAATCGTTGTCGCCAATCTGCACGACTTGGCTCGAAATGGAGGTTGCCAGCGAACGTCTCTGCCACATGCGTCTAGCATGCCACAAAGGCCAGTGCCGGACGACGACTGCCTCAACATGTTGCAGGGCAAAAAGTGTCCAATTCAGCCACTCACAAAAACCTTGAGAAGTTGCCAAAAGCTGCCGAGCTGCAGGATGTCCTTCCCATGGTCGAGCATGCGTCGGTGGGCCTTCCGCAACTTGAATCTGTGCCGGGTACAGCACATGCCTCCAATCGACACAAGCAACCGTTACAGAACATCGCCGTGCCTCCCCCCCACGCAAAACCTCTCGCAATTCCTGCGGACAGAAAGCATTTGTGGCGTGGGCATTTCAACTTCGAAACATTTTCAACTGCAGACTGAAACCTCCAACATGACGTTGTGGTTACGTGACCGTATGTGCTTAGCACCAGCAGGAGCAGGACACCTGACTGCACTCCGGGTCGTCCGGCAGGCTGATACCTTGAGACAAACCCATCTTGTCGGAGACGCGGTAATGCGGCCTGTGCACTGACAAGCCTCCGGGAGAACTGGGATACACCCGACGTGGTTTTGGCGCTAACCTCATTTGCACAGAACATGGTCCTTGAGATGGCTTAGGACAACGAAATTTACCCAGCACCTCTTCTTCTCTTACAAACTTGCCGAGTAACGTTGTCACTTCCGGTGTGGAAACACCAGGTGTTGGGGCAGCGGCATTGCCTGGACAACGACATACTGACATGTGCCTTGGCATCAAAATTGACAGCTTCTGTTGCAAACAGAGGAAAGCACCCTGACCAAGCGGTGTAGTTGGGGATTCCACCTGGACCCGCAACAGGTCGGACTTTCTACGAGTTATGGCTCACGCGGCCAGAAAGGCCACGAAGAAGCGAATGAAAAATCGAGCCTGCTTTTTGAGCGCTCGCTCCGCCACGGGGGTATGCAGCATTGCATCCCCAGGCGTGGATCCCACCTTGTTATCTTAACAAGTGCCCCCCTCTAAGAGGAAGGCCGCACTGTCACATGCAAAAACGACATGTATTGCCTGCGACGCCCTCGGCATGTCAATCCTCACTCACCAAAAACATGGGACCACCCAAGCTGGCCATACGAATGCGCCGAACTCATACGGAAAAACTCCTACGCAACTACAAAACAGTTCTCCTACGGGGCGTCCCGCACGTGTTTTGCATAGCCTTCACAAGAGGGATGAAATGGTCAAACATGACGCGTTCAAGTGTCCGAGCCCGCGCCTGTCCCGCACCACCGAGTGATGGCGGGCAGCTGACCCATTCAGCCGAAATTCAAAGCAACAAACATCAACAAACCAACTTACAAGGCAGTCTACATGCGAATCGGGTGCCAATCACAGATGGAACCGCCACTCAGTTTCGTTTCAGCAGGGAAAGCTATCACAAATCTGCTTGTGCTCTGTGTCCACTTCTTATCTCCTGAGATGGGCTCGGTTTTCGAGGCTTGGGCCTCCCGTTTCATCCCGTTTCCCACCATTATCGAAAATTTTACGCTTCTTGGGATCGGCAAGGCCTTCTATTCGTCAGACCAGGATGATAGGGGCTGTGAAGTGATTAATGACCCAGAAAACCACGCTCATTCTGAACTAAATTCGCTCAGTCATTTCCCCCTTGTTTTTCTTTTTCTCGCGCTCTTTTTGCGTCTGCCTGTCCGCAGTCCCAGTGCAAGTTGTGTCGCCGATCTCAGGATCAGCTACGGCAGACGGCGAGGACATCACTGAGGAGCGGGATGTCCCCATCGATGTTGGAGGCTCGGAGGTGTCGTGGAGGGGCAGGGAGAGCAGGCTTGCACAGAAGGCTCGTGTGGCTGCGAAGGAGAGGAAAATAGAGGAGAGCAAACCAATGCTGCACGTAGGCGGAGATGATATGGTCACCGAGTGGATCATGCAATTGACGGCATCTGCAGCGTGCTGCGGTAAGAGGCAGCGGGAGGCGCAGGCGGCGGAGCAGAAGGACGCAGAACAGATTCGGGGATGTCGGGCTGGCTGTGAGGGGACGTGCTGCAAAGGGCCCGGCCTGCGGATCAGGGCGGCTGAGGGTGCATCCAGCTCGCGCCAAAAGGGCACGCAGGCAGAAGTCATCAACAGCTTGGGAGGCGGGCCGCTGCGTGTGTGGTCGAGTGGGAGGTCGTCAGGGTCGACCCGCGGCGGGGCCGCATGTAGGAGATAAGCCCATGAGGGTGCCTCGAAGCCAAGTGCAGCCAGGGAAGCCTGGGCTGCGCGGAGGGCCTGTAGGGCAGGCGGCAGCGACTCGGGGGCGGAGAGCTGGGCAACGAGGAGCTGTGCAGGGGATTGTTCTCGCGAAGAGATGGCTGGCAGGGCGTCAGTCCAGGAGGCCCACTGCGGAGTCCCAGGACCCCATGTTTGAGGGCGAGCTGTGCATGGGCGAGGGCGAGCTGTGGCAGGTCACTTGAAGCATTGGAGAGAAGGAGGGAGCCTAGGCAAGAGCTGCGCAGTAGAGAAGCAGCAACCATGCTATCTGTACGTCTGGGAGCGCAGGCAACAACTCGAAGAGGGCGGACTGCTGCGGGAGGGCTCCGACCAAATGCTCCTGCACAAAAAACTTTTTTTTTTTTTTTTTTTTCTGCGCGCCTTTTTCCCGCAATCTCGTCCCGACGTGGTCCTCTACATCACTACACGCCAGCGCGTCACGGCTGCAAAGGCAGTCGGCTGGGCGCGGCCGCCTCAGCGAGGTCAAGGACATGCATCGCCAAGCGGCACGTCGTCCGGCGCGCCGGGGAGTGGTGGCATGGTCCAGACCCCGAGCACGGAGCTTGCCACGGCACGCTGCAAAGCAACCGACAGGACGCCCCACCAGCGACGCGCCCATCCCTGCGTCGCCGACGCCCTCAACGGGGCTGGCGCGCGCCGGGCCCTGAGGCGCAGGAGCTGACGGAGGAAGTGATGGCACTCATCACTCCAGCGACCGCCAATCTCCGCAGCCAGGACGACCAGTTTCTGCGGGCCCCCCCGCGTGAGCTCGGGATAGCGCGCGGCCTTGCGCCGACGTGCTGCAGCGAGCGCAACCCCATCGCGGGCATCTGCGCCGGGGACAGGGCGACCGGCGCGGGTCAAGGGAGACACGAGCGTCGCGTCTGCGCACAGCGCCTCTCCATTCCTCGTCGCTCCGTACACCACAAAGTCGAGGCGACGGCGGTCATCCGGCGGGACTTGTGGGGCAGTGGTGCGGGCAAGCCACTGCTGTGGCACCACGCATCCTTCGGACCCGACCGCTTCCCGCACGACCTGCACCCATGCGTGCTCAAGCACGAAGCCGCGGCGAGGGAGCAGGCCGGCGAGTTAGTGGTCCCCAAGCCCGTCGATCTCGCCCCGGCAGCCCGGGCGACCGTCCCCACCGCATTGCCTGTCTGTCAAAGGCAGGGGCAGCCGCAGGCGGCGCCGCAATGCCAAGTGCATAAAGTCAGGGGCAAGGGTGGTTGCTGCGTCGGCGGGGACGGCTGCGAGCCACATGCCGGCCGCAGGGCCGGACTGGGATCGTAGGAGTGCTCGCGAAGCTGGAGGGATGGCAGGCAGCAGCTCACGCTGAAGTGCGAGAGCAGCGTGCCGCTGCCAGCCAAAGCCTCCCAGCCCGAGCTGCCCTTGCGATGGTGGCACCGGTGCCCCGCCAGCGCACGCTTCCCAGCCGGGACTGCCCAACCCGCCTCATCAAGCCGCGCCGCTGCGGCAGCGGCAGCCTGCAAGCACGGCGGACCCGGGCCTCGGTGAGGTCATGGAGCAAGCGGTCCGCAGCTTCCGGATACCGCTGGCGCAGGACCGGGAGCGCGTCGGCCCATGCTGCCCAGTATGCCGCTGGTGAGATGCGCTTTGCCGCGAGAAGGCCCAGCCCCCCCTGACTCGGCGGCAAAAAAGCGAGGTCGCGTGCAGCAGTCCAGGCATCGTCTTCTCCCGGCCCCCGGCCACCGAGCAGACGCTCGACGACCTCCCAAACTGCCGCGTCGTGGGCCTGCGCGTACGGTCGTACATCCTCCGGCGGGACGTTCCGGAGCAGGTGCTGAGCCCGTGGTGCTGCGCAGTACGCTAGCAGCAGCCATGCGCACTGGAGGTCAGGCAGCTGCGCAATCTCTTGCAGAAGGTCCGCCTCGGCAACAAGGCGGGACTCTGCCTGAGCTGCGACGAATGCGGGATGGCCGATGGGGACGCCGAGCGCGACAAACCCCCGCTGTTCCGGCGGCAGGTCGCCACGCCAGACGTTGGCGCCCAGGGCGGCGATGCTCGGGGGAGCTGGCCCGCCGGCCGCGTTGTATACGCGCGTCTTGCCAAGGTTGGCAGCAACGCCAGCACCCCGTTCGACCTCCTCGGGGACGACCTGGAGGAGATGCTCGGACCGCGCCGAGGTCGTGACGACATAGAGGTCGTCCAGAAACGCGAAAAGCCGCTCACGTGACTGCAACGACCCGCTTGCCGCGACCAGGGAGTCGTGTTGGCCAAGCGCGTACAGGCCCGGCGCGAACGGGTCGCCTTGCTCGATGCCCTCAGCCTGCGGTATCTCATGCAGCCCTCCCTCCGCGTCCCACCACAAGTACGTGGAAGTGCGAGTGCGAGCGTACATGGCGCGGACGAAGGGCAGCAAGGCCGGCACGGTGTCGCGGAGCTTGCGTAGGATAGCGTCGCGGCTGATAGTGTCATACGCGCTGCGAAATGACCGTGGTCTCGGGGTTTAGCTCAACAGCAGCGCGAAGCATCGCCGCCAGGCGGTCTGTGCCAGCGCGCGTCTGCAGCGCGAACTGGAACGGGCGGGTGGCCTCGTCACAAGTTGTAGCATAGGCGCGTGCGAGAGCGCGGGAAACGAGCCGCCGAAACACGTCCCCGGTAGCTATTCCTCGCACGCCGCCGCCGGGCTTGCGCAGAGCCGTGAGGCGGGACAAGGCGATCGCATCCTGTGCGATTGGCGGGGCCTGGGCACGAGCAAGGATGTTGACGGCGAACGTCAAGGACTCGAGTGCTGCAGCATCGTCCAGGAGAAGCTTGTAAAGCTCAATGGTGGCTCCGGACAGACCCGCGGCCGACCCGCGCTTGGTGCTGCGCAGGGCGTCGGCAACCTGCGCGACGGTCAGGGTTACCTCCTCAGCGGCGCTGAACGTGAGGACATCTGGCGTCAAGGGCCGCAGCAGCTGCGGCGGCCGACGTGCAGGGTCCGTCAGCGCACGCAGCGTGCTGTCGTCACCCGGAGCAAGCGCTGCCGCAGTGAGCAGCTGCCGTGCTCGCGACAGCTGGCCCCGCTTGACTTTCGCAGAGGCTGCGGCCCGCGCTGGGTCGCCTCCTAGGTCGGCGCGAGAACGTGCCTCAGATGGGCCCGCCGTCGGCGTCTGCGCGTGTAGCGCGACGAGGTTGCCTTGCTGGAGCAGCTGCAACCGGCGCATCAGCACAGCGCGGCCCTCCGTTCCAGCCTGAGGACAACGAGCCAGCAGCAAGCGGGGCAACATGAAGAAGAGTTTCCAGGCGCGCACGCGTTTTACTTCCACCCGACCCACGTGCGCGGACCGGATGGCATCCAGCGCGGCGACGAAGGCCCGGCGAACGCCGGTGACGAGGAAACGGGGCACAGTTTGCAGAGTCGGTACGCGGCGTCGGAACTCAGCCAACAGATCGAGGTCGTCCAACCACCGCGCAGCGTCGCCGGAAATGCCGGTCCCTGCGAACGAATGTGGGGGATGAGACGGCGCCGACGCGGCACAATCACTTACTGAAGCCGCGCCATCCTCGTCTGGTCCCGAGTCACGGGGCACCCCGTGGGTGCGGCGGCGCCGCATACGACGGCCCTGCGCGTGTGGAGCACAGGCCACGGCGGCAGCCTCTGTACCCTCAACCGGGGGCACAGTCGGCGGTTCCGGGCGGAAGCGATCGGAGTGGCGATCGAGCGATGCCACCCGGAGGCCACCGTAACACTCCAGGAGTGCCTCCTGTACAGGGGCAAGCAAGTAGCCATCGGGCTCACGCAACTGACGCACTGCCCAGCCCACGTGCACCAATGCAATGGCAGGTAGCCCCGCCTGCCCCAAGCGCTCTAGAATGTCGGGTATGTGATGGCTGTATGCAGGCGTGGCCTCAGCAGCACGACGGATGGCCGCTGCCAGCAACCGTGGCGAGACAGGTTCGGACGCAACCAACAGTCGCCTGGCTTCTTCCCACCAGCCGTGGGTCCGCGGGTCTGCCCGCCAAGCCTCGGCCGCAGGCGGTAGCAGGTCCCCCGCTGCAGCTTGCAGCAGCGGCACGTATAGCCAGGAGTTGGTGTTCTCCCAGACCTCGCCTGCGGGAGGCCCGCGCGACAACCAGTAGCCAACCGCTGGGAGTTGAGCGGCCACGGGACCGGCAGGGAGCACTGCCGGCTGCACAGCGGAGCCCGTGGGACCAGGGGCGGGGCCTGGCGCCAGCGGCACCTCTGCGGGTCGGATGCACCCGGCACTGCAGTGAAAGCGCCCCCGTTCAGTGCTCAGGTCGTACTCCCAGCGCAGCTGATTGCCGCAGCCACCGCACAGCTCTCCGGCCTGCGCGGGCACCGGAACATCAGGGCACACCCACGCTGGCACCCAACCTGCAATGCCAGCATCGTGCCGGACCGGTAGAGGCGCCCATTGCATTTCGCGATCCGGCAAGCGGACGAAGTCAACGCTGCCTGGACGCCTCACCGCCGCGACTCGGTTGCAACACAAAACGGCAACACCCGGCGGCGGCCGTGGCTCTGGAGCATCGTGGGAAGTGAACGTGCGGAGGGCGTAATCCTGGACAGCTTCCTGCACTGTTTCCTCCCCAGAGAGGCGCAATGGCATCCCCACGTCCTCACGCTCACACGCGTCGCGCAACGCCGCGTCGTGCCGGGGCATCCACCCCTCCGGCTCGCACGCGGGGCAGCGACCGTGGCGGCATAATGGGCACAACAAGTCGGACGAACGGGACGCTTGCACTCGGAACTGGGCGAGGCATTCGAGGTGCAGCCGGTGCCGTGGGCGCGTTGGAAACGGCTGCGGCGCTTGACACCCAGACGCGTGCGGCAGCAAGACATCCAAGCACACACAGCACGCCTCGTCCTCCACTTGAGGCGCGGCGATTGCGAAGCCACCGAAAAGGGCGACGGCGGCTGGCGGCGACGGTGCTGTGGACCAGCGCTGCGGCCCTGCCCGCTCGGGCTGACGACGCCGAGCGCGATTGTGCGACAACGCCGCCGACAGCCTCTCAGAGATTGCGGTGGGACCGGCTGGACGTCTGCGCGTGGGTGGGGCTCGCCGTGGCGTGTGAGGGGGCGCACGATGGTGGCCTGGGGCGGGCAGTGCGTTGGCGACAACCTCAATGCGTCGGACGGGCACATTGTGTCCGCAAGCCGGACATGACAGGCGACTGCCTTCGCTCCCGGGGTGGGCCACTCGAGCGCGCTGCGGCCCGCATCTGCCGAGACGCCGGAGCCACGGTTGCCCTCAACGTCCGGCTGCGGGACCTGAATGTCGACGTCGCCCGACAAAACATCGCATCGAGGTCATCGCAAATGGGTTGGCGCTCTGGGGTGGCTCACAGCTCGCGGTCGACACCACGCTGGTCTCCCCGCTGAGTTCGCCAGCCGCCCCCCCGGAAAGCCGGCGGACGCACTTTCACATGCACGCAAGGCGAAACAACGCACCTAGCCTGAGCTCCGCCAGTCTGCAAGGTGCAAGCTGGTCGTCCTCGCCCTTGAGCTCGGCGGCCGTTGGAGCGCTGAGGCCGCGACTCCGCCTGTGCCTCGCGCTGGTCGGCCTTGCTGTCATTCGCGGCCGCCCGCGCCTTCGCAGCGAGCCTCCTCGCCTTGCCTCTCTCCGGCACGGCCAATGTTGATGGCGAGGCCCCGTTGCTCAGCGACATCCTCGCTGACTCCTCCCAATCCCCGCGCCCTAGGCCACTAGGTGTGCACTGGGACTGCTTCGCCTGGGACGTTGGAGAAGGCATAGTGCTCAAGGCGATGGTACAGCTCGATGGCCCTGGCGATGTATGCATCGTCGAGGTACGCGAGGGCGTGCTCCCCAGGTCGGAGATCAGCCTGCAAGTCCCTGAGCGCGGGGCGGAAGCCTAAAGCTGGCATCACAGGTCGCCTTGTTCCCCACCTTTTAGGGGCCCAGCTTGAGCGAAGGGGAGGAGACGGGACAGGCTCGTGGAAAAACCAAATCAAGTGATCACACACCGTGACTATGCAGTGCTTCCATCGCCAATCAACGAAGGTCCGCATCGTGCAGCACCTCCTCGAGCGCAGGGAGCTGGGCGCCAGGCATGGCCCCATGAACGGACGGCGCTCCGAGGAGCGTGGCAGCAAGGCTGCTTTGCAAAACCACTCTCAACAAACCCCACCAGCAACCCTGCTTGACGGCACCTCGCAAGGCGTCAGGAGCGCGCGGAACTCTGAGCCTCGCCAGTTGAGCGTCTCGCCCTCCGGCATCGCCCTGCGAACGCAGAGTCGCTGAGGGCCAGGTCAGGGCAAGCTGCACGCTTGCGCCGTTCAGCGACAGCGATCGCGGCTCCATTGCGCGAGGCCGCGGAGGCTGGGGCCTCCCTTCTCGTGTCAACGGGGATACGAGTGTCACGTCGCAGCACAATGCCTCACCCAGCGGCGCCGTAAGCGACGAAGTCGAGGCGGCGGCGATCTGCAGGGTCGATGCCAGGGGCAGGCGTGCGTGCCAATCACTGCTGGGGCACGATTTGGACCTCGGGTCCGACGGCCTCTCGCGCGATACGAACCCACGCGCTGCGGAACGGAGCGCAGCTCGCCGTTGACGCCACCATCGTCAGCCTCTGTCACCCGCAGGGGGGAGGGAGGCGCAGCCGTGCGCTGATGTTCGCCCCGGCCAGGCCGTCGACGCCGCAGCGCGCCGCAAGCGACAGCAAACGTACCCCGAGCTCGCGGCCCGGCGCTGCCGCTTGGTGGTCGTCGGGGTCGAGGTTGGTGGCCCCCCGCTTTGGAGCCGAGGCCGCCCGCTTCCTCCGGCTCTTGGCCCAGCACCGGGCCGCCGGTGTCCCCGCTGCACTCAGACCGGCGGCGCAAGCGGCCTGGGTGGCGCGCGCTGGGCTGGTTTCTTGGCGGTCGCAGCGCAGCGCGCATTTGCCAGCTCCCTCCGCGAGCTGCCGCTGGCCGGGGAGTGCTGCGTGGACGGAACGACGCCAGACCTCCACGAAGTCCTGGTCGACGCGCGCTGGCTGGCGCCCCCGCAACCCAGCCGCCTGCCGCTGCCCCCAGCACTAGGCGAGTCCCGGTCAGTGAGAGCCGTACAAGCAGAATGTCTACCGTTGCACCAGGGTTTCTAAGCGCACAGCACGGCTGCGATGGGGCGTCACAGTTCTCAGCATCGACAGAGGACAAGTTTGTTGCAAGCCGTCCAAAGCATTCACACTCTACTGTAAGGATGCGAACTGACAGCCGGTAATTGTGTAAGACATGGGTGGCTTCTTGATATCACGTTTCTCTGCTCGTACGGTGAAATACGATGAACATCACCACAGTATTATGCGAGGAAGCAGGATGCTCTGGGCGTGTCCCGACATCTCTCGGAAGGCCTCCTGGATCTGACCCAGACACATGGCAGATTTGCATAATCTTGCATATCCTATCTGGACCTCTGTTTAAAACATTCAAACCTTTCTCAGCCCTCAGACAAACTCAGATCTGAGCTCACAAGGGTGCAACACAATCGAGCCTCAAGCTGCCTCCGCAACAAAAGCTATCGAATGTCAAGAAATTTCGAGAAGCTGCATGTCCGACAAGCAGCTTCTCGCATCGGCGAACTTGTACTACAGGCATTCTTTTGGGGAACGGCATCTCCGCGAAACCGCTTCTTTCCTGCTCCATTTAAGAGCCAGTTGTGAAAGCCCAGAATCCTTCAGCATGGTGAGATCGGGTGAGACGAGATGTGAATTTCATGCAAACTTTGACATCGGCAACACAAGTACAAATTAACTTGCAATCCCTGTAGCCTAGATGAAGCAAGAAGACTCTAGATATCTCTAGATCATTCACGGATAAAAGGAGTTCGAGCTGCGTTTGCAGCTTTGAGCGCGTCACGCCGCTCGGGTCATCACTCTTCCATCACTTCCTGCAGCCACATGCGCTTCACGCGTGCTTCACAGGGTACGCCAGATGCGCCCACCTCGGGCATCGGCACCGTGTGCGCGTGCGCCTGCCACCGATGTCAAGTGCAGCAGCTCGTTTGCGAGTATGATGTGCTCATATGCTCGCCATCCTCCGGCTGCTCAGGAGGCAGTCTCTGTAGAACTGGAGCCGAAGCGCACCTTTTCCGCATCATCAGGGTTCACGGAAGTCTGTCAACTTGTCCCACTTGCCGGAACTAAAGCTTAGGTCTGCACTCACGCAGGCCAGGAATCTTCAATTTGGAGGTAACTTTCTTGAACCTGACACGTTCATGCTTCGGTCTCGCTAGACCGAATGCCGCAAATGCCACAAATGCCACAAATGCCACAAATGCCACCAACACTTCGCCAGCCGAACTTTGTGAGCTTGAAGGGCTCGTGCGGCTCCTCTGTAGCCACAGCACTTCAATTTTTTCTGCTGTGCAAATTTAAACAAAGTGCTCACAACCAAACCATGTCAAACCTGTCCTGTGGGTTTCGCCATTCCTTCATCTTCTGACGAGCTTCATGAATACGCTCTTTGGAGGCCTTCTGTCAAGAAAGTGGTTGGCAGCAGCCCATGCGAACTTCCCCCAGATCCAAGACAGCTCTTGGGTCCTTGGTCAGCTTGATGAGCCGTCGCTCCTGCTTCTGCTGGTTCTCCTGGCCAAAGAGGACGCTTGGTTCCACATTCTCTGCAGAAGAAGCCCACAAGCCTCCAGGACTCTGTAGTGAACTGCCAAAGCCTGCACGCATCAAAACCCTTGGATGCAATGCAGAAGAGACTTGCCATCTCCAGCACCTCCTCTGACTCTGTCGCATACTGGTTGCCGATCTGGCAGAAATCAAGAATGGTCGCCAGCCGAAGCAAACATGAGAAACCAAGATGCAATCAGGACTGGTGCGTGGCAACAATGCGTGGCAATATGCATCGACCCGCCCATCCATCACATCTGTGGGCGTTACCCACGAAGCACCAATGCCCCCCGAACGGTGACAAAGCTTGCGCTGGCTGGCAGGAGAACACATCTCCGTACACCAAGAGGGAACATGATGCACACCAACCCCAAGGGGAACGTGGTGAGGGGGGCCGTCGGCCGACATTTCCGAAGCCCTGTTCCCCGCTGACCCCCCCCCCCAATTCACAGTCCGATACACGTTGCAGATCCAAAATCCACTCGGCGACCTACAACCGAAGTACACAAAAACAGAACTGTTGAAGAGCTGGCCTCCATGAGCCCTCATGAGCCCTCATGAGCCCTCATGAGCCCTCATGAGCCCTCATGACTTCACACAGCGATCAAATGCTTCCAGGTCGCCACATGGGTTATGGGCGTGGACGGTCGCGACTTGGTGCCGTACGCAAACCTGTCAAAAATGCAGCCTCACACTTACCACATGCTCCCGGAGACAACACCAACAGCTTGCAAGCTTGCCAGGCTCACGAAGGGATCACATCAGAGGGGATGACTTTGGGCAGAACACCAAGAGGACCCTCAGAAGTCACAGAGCTTCGCACGCGGGAAACTCTGACAGAAATTCTAACACTTTTGCGACTCAGAAAAAGGGCGCCCTTGAAACGAGCTGACTGGGTGCCGGGACTGGGGGTACCAACTTGATGTCGGTCGACTTCCTGAAATCCGCCAGGTCGCGGGCATGCCTCTCCACAAGTGCACAAGCGCAGCTGGCCATTCTCACAAAGCCAGTGCTGACAAAAACTGCCTGACTCCAGACTTAGCAGCTGCCCGATTCAGCTTTCGAAAGTCCTGCGCGCGAACGCCTTTCCCATGAGCTGCACAGCTGGGCTGCAAAACTAAATCAGACTCCTGGCAATCAGGGCCTGGCTTGGGACGTGGAACATGTGATGCCCAATGCATCGTTACCTCAGAAAAATTTCTCACATGGCACGTCCAGAGCCTGAGACTCCCAAATGCTTCGGCAGCCTCTCTGGCCCCTTCCACATCAGCAGGTTCACTTCGGCCGAATGTGAAGCCCTCCCAAAAGCAGCGGCATCGGACTGTGTCCACACTTTACACACCATGTCCACGGTTTACACATTTTACACACTTTACACACTCTACACACTCTACACACTTTACATGGTTCTGGAGGGAGCTCTTGCCCCGGTCAACAAACTGTAACAACGCAGCATCTTTGCGTCTCTTTTCCATGAAAAGCGGCGACGCGAGTCACGGGCGTACATTTCCTTGCAAAGCGCTTGGAATAACCTTTGCCATCACGAAACGATCGAAAAACTGCCTTTCGCATGTCCTGATCGACTTGGAGGTGTTGCCGCACGCGGCTGCCGTTTCCGCAACTTCTGGGCTGCCTCGACAATCTTCCAACATTTGTCGCGCGATTGCAAAATCAAAAGCACGCCTCTTCAGAAGTCTTTGCTTCTTTTGCCGCCATCGTCACTGGTTGGAAGGTTTCCGCTCCGCTGGGCGATGCCTCACCACAATCGAGACTTGACAACGTTCAGACTTCAAACCTGAATCCGACCTGGCAATCTCGAACAGACATGGCCCAGCAAAGAAGAAAAGCACCTGGCGACATGAACTGCCAGCTGAAACATGAAAATGTACGCACAGAGAAGCTCCAGCGCCTGAAGCGCTGAGAGTGATGAGGCTCCCAACCCATCGTTCGAAGTCAGAGTGCTTCTGGCCGCATATAGTGTACCATGAGGCCAGACCGCCTGACACAAGTCATCTCCTTGGGAAAATTGTACGGTTCAAGTAACTGCTAGCACTTCCAATGTAGTAACAACAAACGTCACTCGGATAATACTTCAGATGAAGCACTGGTGCACTTTTCGTTCTACCTGCTTCACCTCGATGCCAAGAACTGTCCCTCCAGTCGACGGTTGCACAAAGGTTCGTAACGAACAGCAAGCTTTCACAAGTCAAAAGCAAGTTCAAGCGCTCATAAATACATAATTGCAACAAGATGCTTTAACGGTGATCTGGCTTGCTTTTTGTTGACTTATGTCGAAGACTGCACCAAGAACACGTTGAACCGTGCCTGTCATGGACTGCTCAGGGGTCACCCGAGCCCATCTGGAACCTTCCTGGGAAGCATGCGCTCACTGCGCAACAAAAAAATATCTGCGTCTCGTGCGCCTCGCTTGGTTCCCAGCCTCCTTCCACGAAGCCGGGCAATCCAGCCGAAAGTACTCTTCTGGAAACCGCTCTCGGCAAATATATCGCCTAAAAGCTTCGGGCCAAGTCGCAACATTACGAAACACGGCAAGACCGTTCCAAAGAGCTTGCCTGCAGCCTGAAGCTGAGTTCAAGCTGAGCTCCTGGCTTCCGCTCGAAGCCCATCAAATCGATGTCCATTGCATCACATGGCCCAAATTCCTGGTGCACGCCCGTAGACACCTCAACAGCTTTCACCAATTGCATGCCTACATTGCTTTTTGTTCTCGCCCGCAACTCACAGCACGCCACAAACACGTTCTCGGAGTTGAAACTTTGGACGAGAAAGCAACACTCCCAAAGGGCACCCCAACAAGCACCGAAAAAGGCCCATCGTAGACCCAACGATCTGAAGGTCATAAGTCAGAAACATTCTGAAACCCTAGACCCTTGCGACTCTTTACAGCAAAGGCTCAAACCCAAGCCACCACGATGCCAAATGCCTAAACATTGAAAACCCTATAGAATCCTACATACAGTAGCAACGGAGAAACTTGAGAACAGCAACTGCCCTTTCGGAGCACAAAAAGGCGAACCCTGCAAGAAGCACCCCGTCCTACACTCAGTCCACCACACTAAGTCAAGGCCACCACACCGTCCCCGCCATCCTAAGCGCTCCTAGGCACTCCGAAGCACCGGCCTGGTTCTCCGGGGAGAAGGTCAGGCCAATGAGGATCAGGGTGCAAAAATATCCAAGCAGAGCAAAACGGACGGACCAATGCCTCAAGATTTAAGTCAAGGCTAGTGGTTCTTCGCTGCATTTGCAGCCTGTGCACAGCAGCCTCCGAGTAATTGCCAGCCAAGGCTCTCCGGCACACTGACACGGTGTGCAACTGACAGCTGTGGCCAAACCTGTGTGCCAGAAGCAGGTGTGTGATCACGTGGAACTCTTTGCCGCGTGTGGCCCTGCGCCTGCGCTGCCTTGAACGCATCCCCCCGTATCCTCCTGCCTTGAAGGCCGGCTTCCAGATGCAAAGCGCTGAGAAGCAGATGGAAGCAGCAAGAACGGTCTGCGGGCCGGGCATGCCGATCCTTCCGAAAGAACGCAGGAAACCTTTGACTGCCACCTCATCCGTTCAAGGCCTGTCCCATCCAAGAATGGTGAAGACATTTAGCACGATGATCATCAGCGGAGTAGACCTTCGGATCATGCCATAAACCTACCAAAACACGGGGAAGCACCTTCCCACACATGAATCGTGCTGCACCACTGCCCTTTTATATGCTCTTTCAAGCGTCCAGCACGCCAGCGCAAGCGTGCGCAGCTGGCCCCAGCCAGAATCATGTCCCAAGCGCCTGAGAAAAATCAAAAATTATGCGAGAGAAACCAAAGCTGAGCCAAATCGATCAATGCACGGCATCTCACCCCTGTTACATGCTCTCACTGCAAGTCGCAGAAGAAGTGAGAAGCAAAACGTGAAGGTAATGGTCCACGCCTGGGTCGATTCAATGCAACAATCATTCACCACTGCATCCCGCATCGTTCGGCTGAGATCCACACAGTGCTTCCACCTGGAACACCAAGCCATCGCAATGCCACGCCAGCATCCGTGTCATGCCATGTCCACCTGTGATCAGAATGATGAGGTGGGTCCTACGTTAGCTCTTCTCGCCCGCTCGCCCTTACTTCGACCTTGCCATTCACATTCCCCAAGAACGAGACCCCCAATTACGTCTCAAGCCTTCGTGAAGCTACCACTCATTACAAAGTTGTGTTCACCATTCAGGTCAAAGCACCACAAGAACCTCGCACCGCACATGTCGTAGGGAGCGTAGAAGAGTGCCGCCAAGAGCCCTTCAAAAGGCACTTAAGGAGCTGCTCGAATGATATCGGAGAAAACTTTGTTTCAACCGAGTTGGCAGTCCATGGCCGTCCTGCGAGGCCAGCTTCTGCCATCGGACACCTCCGTGTGTGACAGAAGACTCGAGCAGCGGCGACCTCACAACAAGCCAGCAAAGGAGCTTCACCGCTCTTTAATGGCACTTTGGTCGTGCCCCGTGGTGCTGTTCGGTTCTTCAGTGGTTGTGCATGTGTGCGGCTCTATCAATAAGAGTGACCATGAACAGCGATGAACTTTACCAAGCAGAAATCGCACTTAAACCAGTTACAATCGAATGTCCAAGGCGCAGTTGGCCAATACATGAAAGCGTTGTAGACGCAAGGGATGTAGAGCGGCATTCTTGGAGTTAGCATCAGAACGGCTTGCGCCTGAAACACCCCCTTTCCCCACGAGAAAGAGACACATTCGCATTCCTTACATACGCCCAACGGCGATGCCTGCCAGAAGTTGTCCACCACTGGCAGGATCATGAATATGTAGTCATTCACAGTACCCACAATGAACGTGGCCACCCAGATCCTAAAAAGCACAAGGGCTCAACCACTGCTTGGAATCTAAAGCTTCTTATCTTCTCGCAAAAATGGCATGCAGTCAAAGTGCAGCTTCAAGCGACGGAACTCTGCAGCCCGGGATTCGCAAACCGCATGCAGCAGCGAGAACACTGCCAAGATCAAGAAAAGCACCTGCTCCGAAATAGGTGCACGTGGAATCACAAGTTTCAGTGGCAAGACGAGCATGCACAAGGAAGACCTCCCCCGCGACGAAAGATGGATGATCCTGCAGCTGCCTCTCCAAAGAACTAACTCGAAGCCATGGCCACCTCAGATGATCCGCTGGTATCGGCCCATATTGATATGATCTGACATGCCGAGAAGCGCAGCTCTTCGCAACTCGGAAGTAAAAATGAAAAGTGCTGGGCTTGGGGGGCCACTTGTCATACTCACGGAAGTGATGGGTGACCAGCCATGACCTCAACTTCTCATTGTTCGAGAGTGTGAACTGCTGAACATGTGCATGCGGCAACCGCTAGGGTTGCTGCATGAGACTTAACATCTCGTAGATTCGATGGGAAGGCGTACATGCACGTGAAGCTTGATTCTGCAAAATGTTGTCTCGGATACTTTTTGCCGTTTAACATGTTGCCAGCATGAAAGGGCAAGCAAACGATGTCTTGCAAACGCTCGAACATAAACTGCTGCAGCAAACAGTAAACAATGAAGCACAAGAAGCAAACCTTTTGTTCACGTGCCTCAGGTGGCAAGTCATACACCGATGGCTTGGCCTGAGGAAAATAACTTTCCACGACTTGAACACACAAGCCCACACACACACAAACACACACACCCTGAACACTGCATGTTGAAAGTGTGACGTGTGTTGTCCAGCAGTGACATTGGGCCCCGCCTTGCCAATATCGTCCTGGTCCGGCAACAGTCTTGTAGCAGGACATCACATGCAACAACATTGGGGAATGGCAGCGCATCAACATGTGAACTTGCCGGCTGTTTCAACCCCAGTCCTTCACCAATACTGCGTTGCGCGATCTGTTGCAATAAGCCTGCACATGCAACATGGCACGTTCACCCTAAACCCTAAACCCTAAACCCTAAACCCTAAACCCTAAACCCTAAACCCTGAACCCTGAACCCTGAAACCTAAGATCTGTCTGAGCTAAAAGCACCTCCGACATGCCCACAGATGCTGCCGGCAGGGGTCAACAACCCGCCGAAGCCGCTTGGCAAAAACCGTTGTTTGAGCCAAGATCTGGCCCAACGTTCTTGTTTGTGGCAAACTCCTACAGAAACAGCACAACAAGAACAGGAACATCCATCCAAAATTTTCAGGTGCGGGGTGCATCCAAAGATTCAAATCGTGCGGGGCAAGCTGCATTGCACCCATGCAACCTTGGACCTGGACGTGCTCACGATTTGCGACGTGCATGTGGGTGTCGTGCACCAACATCTGAAAGCAAAAGTCCAAAAAGCCACAAGAGCAAAAAACTCAACATGCATTCATTCTTTGCATTGCAGGATTCTTGTGTGTTCTGGTTGATTAGATCAACGAGGCTTGTTTGCTTATCGCAAGAACCGGCGGCAAATGCGCACTAAACAAACAAGCCGGGAACCCAAAAACCAAACCCACTGCAATTAGAGCATGTCGAACGCGTATTCATAATTCAAATAACCGTTATGTTTTGAGTGAGTGTTGCAATCTTAGCTGCAAGACACGGTCGTTGTAGTCGAAAGAAAACGACCGATTTTCGGTCCTCTTCTGTTTTGTCCCGCCGCCCATCTTGCTCTGAGTCCCCCGTATAGTGTGTGAGCGTGCCGCGCTGAGTACGTTTTGCCCCCCTCAGGCCGTCCCGTACGTTCCCATGCGGTCTCTCTGTCCCGCACCGTCCCTCGAACCACCGCAGCCAGGAACCTCGCAGCACTGCGCCACGTCTCGTGTTCCGAAACTTCCATGAAATTTTCATGCTAAGGTTTTCAAAAGATCGGGCATTTACTTTTTATTAAAGTCTTGAGCCAAAGAAACCCGGAAAAGGGAAAACAGCAAAACTCGAAGTGCATAAGACTCTCCCGAAAGGATCACCAAGCATATCATCACTATGCATAAAAGCACTGCCCTGGCTTCTTCTTTTTCTCACGTGGAGACTGTGGGAGTCGGTGCACACAAAGCCTCACCTTATACCTTAGGCAACCTGTGAAGCTGGGCACACGGGCCCTTTGCAGCTGACGGCAAGATCACAACACTGGGAAGCATGCACCAATCCCCTTGGGAGGCGCAAGCAGATCCCCTCAAGCACTGCAAGAGTTTGCATCGTTAACAGTCAGAGCTCAGTGGTTGGCAAACATGAGCGAACGCGGGCACAAGACGGCAGGCGCTCCAATGTTGGCACACATGAGCAACATCAAGAACCAGCAGGCGCTCCAATGTTGGCGAACATGAGCGAACGCAGGGCACTTTGAGAAGGGCTCGCAGAGGCGAGCACGCATGTGAAGCTTGCAAGAGTAAGGGCGGCTAGGCGGGAACAACTTGGCAGTCACAATCGCGACCAACTGGAATACTCAAGATACTCGACAGGACGAGCACAAGAGGGAAGCCAGGCGACCCGACACAGGGTGGGCCGGGCAGGAGAAATTTTGTCACATTGCAGAAGCTTGAGTCTAGCGTTCAAAGCTTAATGCAAAACACTTGTCAGCTCCAAGAACTTGCAGACGCTCATTGTTCACAAGGCACTTGAACCGGCGAACGTGCGCAAGCAATGGTGTCAGAGACTGAAAAATGAGTGCAAAAGGCCGATGAAGGAAAGTTTTCCCTTTTCCCAATGCTCAGGCGAGCGAGCAAAGAAACGCAAAGAGGTTTTTCTCTAGGCTCAGACTTTAATGCACTATCAACCCGTTGACCGTTAGCTTAAAGTCTTGAGCCAAAAGAATTCCGGAAAAGGGAAACAGCAAAACTCGAAGTGCATAAGACTCTCCCGAAAGGATCACCAAGCATATCATCACTATGCATAAAAGCACTGCCCTCGCTTCTTCTTTTTCTCACGTGGAGACTGTGGGAGTCGGTGCACACAAAGCCTCACCTTATACCTTAGGCAACCTGTGAAGCTGGGCACACGGGCCCCTTTGCAGCTGACGGCAAGATCATAACACTGGGAAGCATGCACCAATCCCCAACTTAACCGAAACCCAAACTAACGCCCAAGACAAGAAGGGATCTCTGCAATCAAGAAAGAATCATCTCCAAAGTTTGTTGGCAAGAATCTGCTTCCAACATCACGCCTTCAAATTGAAAGGTGGACATGAGAGTCCTGGAAGGCTCGTCGGCTAAGTTTGACGGACTGGGCACTCGTGCGAACCAACTGAAGGTTTTGGCCAGGGTCTCCACCGTAAGGAGAAGCCGGGCCAACCTGGCACTTACCTGGTTGCGGGCGGAACCACTGATGAGGACGTCCCTTGTGGCGTTATTATCTATGTAGCAAACAACGGGCCGCGAACAAATGTCATCTCTCCAGAGGACATAGGCCAACACTACGGCGCAAAGTTCGGCTTCAAAGATAATCGTACTGGATTCGTCAACGCCTAAGGCTCGCTGGAAGGACTCGTGAAGTTCTACCGGTTATGCCTGAAGCCATGGCGTCGGTGATCACACACTGAGGGTCAGCTTCTGCCTGCTGCAGAGCTTTGACGCAAGTTCGGCTCAACCTTCCAAACAGCTGGCCACCAGCAAAAAGCCTGCGTCCCCTCCTTCCTGGTGGACGTTCTAACCTCCAGGAGCGAGTTCAGATAGGCAGAGACTTCCTGTATTCGGCTGGGAGTGTTGAAGAACAAGACCTCGGAGTGAAGGAATCTGCTGAAGGAAACCCATATTCCCAGAGCCGCAAATTCTTCCTGGAACCCATGGTCCTTGTCCTCCGAAATTCTCCAGCCAAGCAATGCAAAGAATCCACGCAGGACTCGTTCCACGTGGACCTGCTCCTCGGATCTACAGATGTTGACGAAGTCGTCGAAGAAAGTGCGTCATCATAAACTTGAGGTTCTTAACGGCTAACCACCACAAGCTATACGCTATCCTAAGGTACCCATACACAGCCTGCTGGCACCAAACGGAAGCGCATACATCTGCCTCACAACACATTTGGCTTCTGCAGGGCAGAAGAATGCAAGAAAGGCAAACATCAGGCCTGTAGGCAGCTTTCAAGTCCAGGCACTTACCGACCATGGCCTTTCCTGGCAAACGCTGAAGCGCACTTTAAGGCTGGGAAGATTCGGTTTTCTGCACGGTATCATTCAGAAGGGAGGCGCTGCAGTTGTCAATCACCCTGAGCCGATCCTTCTGAAAAATAGCAAAGCGCCTGTTGACCACTGCATCTAAGGGCAACAAGCTGGAGTCCAGCAGATCTGATACCCAGCCCCGCTCATATTTCTCAGCTGTCTTCTGGCATATGACGGCGTCATGCTCAGATGGCTTGGATGCAGCAACGAGGATCTTCTAGCGAACTTCGGGAGTCTGCTGTGCTAAACCAGCGGAAGACAGCTTTGCGGGTTTGAAACCTGGCACCTGGCCTGCAAGTCGACACCCTTCTTTATCAGATCTACGACTTCCAGATCCGGATACCGCTGGCACGTAACATTTTTCTGCCATTGCAGGAGGTTCTTTCCCTCCAGCACCTTTGCTCGCTTTGGAGGCATCGATGCCTTTGGAGCCGCCTCCTTCTTTAAAGCCCATTTAACCAGTACTTAAACCAACCAGTCCTGACCTCTGCAGTCTCAGCCAAGGTATGGCTGGCCTTCCAAAACACTTGGCAGCAAAGCGTCGAAAGTACAAGGATGCCTCTTGGCCACGGCTGCTCTTACAAACTCTTGTGGTTCGAAGGCCGCGATGCAAGGCTGAGAAGGCGGTGTAACCTCGACGGCCTGGGCAACGCGCCACGCACCGCAAGAAAAGGCGGACAAGCGCTTTCTTACGTGGACCAAGTTGGGACGGTGAGCAAATGCCGCGAAGCGCAACTCACCAGGACAAGAACGGGCGAGGAAGGCGAAAGGGGTGGAAATAAGCTATGGCCGTCTATTTAGGTCTGCGATTCTTAAAAGCACAGTTCTGGAAGCAAGTCCAAAAATAACAAACAGAGAGCGCCAGGGCGGGGCGGAAATCCAAGCTTTGCAGAGCTGACCTATCGGAGCTGTGAGAAGCTCAAAGTGCGCGATGACAAGGCCGCAATCACCACACGCGACCCACCAAAAGCTTGTCCTGCAACTTTACCATTTGCTCTCTTTATCCAACTCCGCAATCAATCGAGCTCTTACCTTGGCGGATGAAGGCAAGAGGTGTAAGCTTTGCCAGAAAAGGAACTGAGAAGGAGAAGGCTTGAAAAAAGAGAGATATCAATTGGTTTAAACAGAAGTTGACAGGGACCAGTAACTTGGCCCAACCAAAACGGGTCTGAAAGTCCGAAAAGTGGAATGCGACAAATGCGTCCTTTGTGTTGGCGGCCAACAACCTTGTCAATGGTGGTAGCACCTAAACGGAACAAGTTTGTCCACAAGCCAGAACTACCTGCAAGCGCAAGGTGGCCGCGAAGCTGTGCAAGCGGCTTGCGCAAGCAAATGAAGGCTGCACTCCTTAAACAGAACGGGTTTCACCGTGACTTTAGCTTGCACTGGAGCTGTACTTCCATTCAAATCATCTTGCCACAAGGCGTCTCGTTCGCTTCTAGGCACCTCTATTTGTCCTTGCAGTGCGACGAAAAAACGACAGGAAGATTTCTTCGATGATCCCAAAAAGCTATTTAACGTATTGAATGAGATGAATCCGAAGAAGATATCTTTTGAGTGTGAAAACGGTCAGCATGTGAAAACACAGCAGCAGCGCGCTGAACCCTCTTTTTCTCACGACTTGAGCCAAAGTCATAAGCCGGAGGCTTCGTCAGTGAAACTCTTTACACACAGGTGAAAACTCTGCTCTGCCACGTGTTCTCCACAGCCACAAAACAAACTCAAACGTCAGTGGGAGTTCTCGGGACCTACCCCAACTACACCTAAAGCAAGCAAAAACGTGCACAGTCACTTCTACAGCTTCCAGACACACATCACTACAACTCAAGCACTTCAAAAGGCTTTCCACTTAAAGCAGCACTCCCGTCGAGCCTCCAAGGCACAACTACGGAGTTCCTACAACTACACACACACAACTCTGAGCCAGCATGCAGGACAACAAAGTTAACATGTCCTTAGACAGGAACTTTCACACCCCCGCTTGGACTGTGATGCCTCAGAGCCACGCACTTCTTCACAGCTCGGTGTTTCCAGTGCTTAAACATCTCATCCCAGGCAAAGTCCGAAAGCGAGCACTCCTACTGCCGACCTAAGAAGGTGTTCCTACAAGACCTAACGTGACTTTCGCAGCACGCAAAAGAGCTCTACCCAGTTTAGTCGGATAGATACCTGTTTCTTCGACAC